TTTGTTCCTGAGAACAAAATGGACCCCCTGCTCTGCCTTCAGTAATGCAGGGCTGGAGAAAGGAGAAGAGTAGCCTGCAGCTTCTGCTCCTGGGTGTAAGATGGACTCCATTATTACTAATAATTTAGCACACAACACAATCCACAAAGTGCTTTGCAATTGCTCAGCACTTTCCCCGTCAAAGCTGCTCTCTGAAGTAGCCAATTACTGGCCCTGCTTCCACAAATGGAGGAGCGAAAAACTGAGAGGTAGCTATTTGCCCAGGGAAACAATAGTTGAGTTGTTGTGGTTTCTTTAAAATCCTTATTTCCATAGTGCGAGGCTGGCATTTTAGACACCGGACCACAATGGCTCCTTATACTTACTCTGACGATAACAAGCATAACTTCAAGCCCATCCACCTCCATCCACACCACCGCACTAACCTTTCCCTGGTGTGTTATATGTGATTTATGCAGGACCCCATTCTGTCCACAAGCATAAGACTCTTTGATTTTAATGAGGTGCTCTATAGAAAGAAGATGGCCAGGCTTTCAGCATTCGAGCCGATTTACCTTTGGGAGTTGTGCAGGTGCAGATGGTGCTTTTCAGGTCCCTACAGCATAAGCTTTGCATCAAAGTTCCCTCATCTGCACAATTGTTAATGGTGCAGGGACCCTGTACCCTTTATGGACCCTAAAGTTTACAGTCTGGCTATCCTTGCTATAGAGGATGAGTCTTCTTCCTGGTGGCCTAAGCATTTCTAATGCAAAAAGGCTCATGCAACAGAAGTCTTTCCCTTTAATGATCGACTCGTTCAGCCCATTCTTTAAGCCAAAGGAACTGCATAGCATGCATGTAGCAAAGGCAACATACTGAAATGCTTTGGTGATTTAGAACGATGGACAGGCAGAAAAGTCTTTCCAGCAGGAAAGCTGCAGGCAGAACTGAGATTGGGAAGAAATTTGATTCAGATTGCACATAAAAGCAAACCTACCTAATTCGCCCTTTCTGGAACGGTACCAGAACCAAAACACAGCCATTCTTTGAAATTCACATTTCAAATGTTTGAAAATGTGAGTCCTATTTCTGGGCTGGTAAAGAATGGAGCTGTTAAGCACTTTATTGAATTTTTAAGAAAACCCTACAGCTCACATATGCATTGCTGAATAGGCTCCATCCCATCATTTCAGAATGACTGACAGTGCAGCTCTATGTGTGTCTACTCAGAACTAAGTCCATTTGAGTCCAGTGGGACTCCTAGAGCTGAAGCCTTAATTATACAAATTAACAATTATCTTAATTATTCTCCTCCTTCCCAGAGTTGCGGCCATCATAGAGCAGCAGCTAGCTGTTGTTATCTGAGATTACATGAGTTAAAAAAAAAATGGTTGGTTTCTTGACAGCTAGAACATCTTCTTTGTGGAGATTGCTCAGTCATTACATTTGCCAAGATCGGTGTGCTATTTATTCAAAGATTAGATCTACTCTGGCAACACTGAAATGCAGAGCAGAAATGTCACCTGGCTGCTCTTTAATTATGAAGGAAGCATCCACCCCCTATTCGCCCGCTGAGAAGGATAGATGTTGTTAAGTTCTCAAAGTATTCTTTTGTGCTGTTTAAACACTAAAAAGGCCTGTGCCACCTGAAAAGACCAACAAATATATTGCAGCATGAGTTTTGTCAGCCAAAGCCACTTTAGCAGAGGCAATAATAATACTTCCCTTTTGTAAGGGAAGCCAACAGACCGAGTAATGCAAGGGACAGCAAAAGGAGGTGAACTGAGCACAAATGAATGCAAGACCCAGCGAAACCATAAGATCGTGTTTATTGTGACCCACTCCCAACCGGTTGTGCTTGTAAGCCCCTGAAGAGGCCAATTGTGTGCTGTACAAAGCCAACCAAGATCTCTAAACCTACTAAAGGACATCTTGGATATAATACAAGCTCTAGAAATCTCCATCTCCCACTCTGCTCTTTGGTGCTTTTCTTTCTTAAATCTGGATTTATTTTCAGGTGGAATGAAGGAGATTTGGTAGTCTTTTTATTCATTTTTCAGCATTTTGCCCTAAGCAAGACTCCAAACTCCCAATCACCTTTGGAATGAATCAAGGACAGGCTGTTTGCTCAGGTTTCCAATGAGATACAAGTGTGACTGCTTTCTTCCCTGGGAGGTGTAAGAATCTGAATGTCATCATTGTATGAGAAACAGGGATTGGGAACCTCAGGCCACAGGGGCCAATTGCAGCTTTCTTGGCCTCTCTGATCGTTGGAACTCTCCTCATCCTATACCCCCTACCCAGCCCCACACCCTCTCCTGAGGCCACATCCTTGATGGGCTCTCTTTTGCCCCCTCCCCGAGTGCTTTTGCCTGGCTGGAGTATGTCCTTGAACTCAGATAATGCTTCATGCTTGCCTGGCTGTTGGAACTAGCCTACTGTACAAAGCTAACATTGACACCAATCGCTCCACCCACTGTTTGCCTCTGGCCTCGCCCACTACTGGCATGTGTGACCCCCGAAAGGTTGCCCAGATAGCAATGTGACCCACAGCCTGATAAATGTTTCCATATCCCTGCAGTAGAATGAGGTAGTGGAAGCGAAGCTGGCCCCTTCTTTATAGCAATGGCTCTTATAGCAAATGGTTGTGGGTTGTTGTTTTTTGGCAGTTTAAAAACTTGGCAGGTGTAATTTCACTCCTTAGTTTATAGTCCTAAAATGACTAAGAATCTCTTGGCAAGGTAATGTCCTTGGAAGTTAAAGTAAGGTTGGTGGTTTTTAATTACAAAAATGATAATGCAAGAGCTTCAGTTCCCAGACAGAAGACATGCCTACGCTAGTTGTCTTTTATAGCTGAGTTTATATACGTGGCATCTGTAATGCACATCTGACCTGCTGAACCTACGCTGTAAGAAAAAGCTTCAATTTCAGAGAGAGTCAACTCTCCTTAGCCTTTTTGGGGGGATGGGGGTCATTTCATACATTACAGAGGCAAACAGGGGTTTCAGTTATTTAAATATCACCACCACCACCACCACCACCACTGATTTATTAATTGCCTTCTAAACAATCTCAAACTGATTTACTTATAATATAATTGAAAGCTGTTAAAAACACCCAAAAAACAACTGTATTTAAAACAAAACCCTACCAAGTGGACACTCATGGAAAAGACCCAGTGGGAAACAAAAATGTCTCCACATGTTTCTGGAAAGGGCAGATAGTGGGTGCCTGTCATAGTTTGACATGAATCCTATGTCATAGATCAGGGGCAGGCACACTGAAAGCTCTGCTCTAAGTTACTGTGCAGCAAGCTTCTGAGATCTTTGGTACTTGCAAGAGAAACTTTCCCACAGACCACAGCAATCTACTGGGTGTATAAGGGCCTCCAACAGAGCCCCCTCAAGGGAGCTTCAAAGATGATAACACATCACACAACAGCCCTTATGGAAGATCAGATCAGATTCCAGAAAAGGGGGCGTGTGTGTGTGTGTGTGTGTGTGTGTGTGTGTGTGTGTGTTTCAGTCTTTTGGCACAGTTCTGCTGTTCCCTCAGTTTAAGGCTCTTGTTGCAAATGTTTTGAGGAAGTGCTGTGGGAGATTTTGTCCATCATTCTCTCCCATGACATCCCTCTGGCTGCCAGAATGGCTGTCTTTGGCGACTGGCGCTGCAGTTTCAAAGCACTGTTGTTTTGGGACAGAGGGACCTCTTCCTTCTTTCTGACAAGTCTGGATGCCTGACAAGAATGAATCAAAGTTTATATCTCTTATTCACTTACTCTTCAGGTACCATCCAGCAGTTGGCTTGATGGAGAGAATCCAGGCGATTGCTCAGAACGTCTCGGACATTGCAATGAAGGTGGACCAGATTCTTCGCAACAGCCTCCTAAATGGAAAATGTAAGAAAACCAGCAGGCTCACCAAAAAGGATGATCTGAGAGTGTGACATTTGCTTATATATGTTTATCGAAATGTTACTGGGTGCCATTGTATGCACACGCTCACATACACGTGTACAAGTTACAGTTTGTTTCACTTAGACCAGGGGGAATTAGCAATCTGGCAACAAACCAGGGCTTAGAATCGAGGAATATTTGATTTATTACAAGAGAGAGAAATATTGATCGCTATGCAGGCCATTACATTCAATTGGACTAGCAATGTGCAGGTTAAATGAAAGGAGAGGATAGCTAGGACAACAGAGATAGCAGGGTAAAGGTAAAGGTACCCCTGACCATTAGGTCCAGTTGTAGCCGACTCTGGGGTTGTGGCGCTCATCTCACTTTACTGGCCTAGGGAGCCGGCGTACAGCTTCCGGGTTATGTGGCCAGAATGACTAAGCAGCTTCTGGCGAACCAGAGCAGCGAACGGAAACACTGTTTACCTTCCCACCGGAGTGGTACCTATTTATCTACTTGCACTTTGATATGCTTTCGAACTGCTAGGTTGGCAGGAGCAGGGACCAAGCAACAGGAGCTCACCCTGTCGCGGGAATTCGAACTGCCGACCTTCTGATCGGCAAGTCCTAGGCTCTGTGGTTTAACCCACACCAAATCCAGCGAAGGAAAGGGCAATAGAAGTCAAGCAGACATGCAGTGAAGTTAGCCATTTTGGAGCTGGAGGTTAGAATCAAACAGGATTGGCTGGGAGCAGCCTGGCTCTTGGCAGAATCAGGGCAATAGAAATATAGAAGTAAGAGCTGGAAAAGAAAAATAGAGTGTGGATAGTGTATGAGAAGAGAGGGAGGGAGAGGAAAAAAATTCTTCAGTGGGAGATGCTTGTGGAACTATTTGGGTGGTCAGTTGTGGGAAGCGGGGGCTAGCAGAGCAGTACAAGGTTTCCCCAAGCAGAGGCTGCATGTTCCTTTAGGTCCCTAACTAAACATATGGCATAATCGCAGAAATGGAAATGAGGTGTGGGACACTGGGAAGGAGGTGATAGGAAGAGGAGTGAAGCTGATGTAGGAATGGGGCAATCTGGAGTGGAACAGTCTAGTCCAGGCGTAGGCAAACTCGGTCCTCCAAATGTTTTGGGACTACAACTCCCATCATCCCTGACCACTGGTCCTGTTAGCTAGGGGTGATGGGAGTTGTAGTCCCAAAACATCTGGAGGGCTGAGTTTGCCTATGTCTGGTGTAGTCGATCAGAAGACCCACAAGGACTAGAAGAAGCCCAAGGACTGGAAATGCAAATTATTACAGGTTCTGAAAGAGTTTATCTAGAACAAAGGGGCAGGGAACTGATCTAGAGAAGAATACTTAGAGAAAATCCAAAAGTTTGTATCAGTTGGATTCAAGCCTCCTACTACAAGGAGTGAAGGCAAAGGTATGTGAAGGCAAATGGAGTAGTGGGTGCAGATACCTGCTGCAGGATCCTGAGTTATGCCAATGCATGCTAATGTTTCTCCTGGTGTATTTAGGCATGCAGTGTCCTTTATTACAGCAGCCCTACTGTCCAACCAGTAAGCTGTGGCTCTTTCCACAATGCAATTGCATGTCAGTGAAAGAAGCCAAAACAAAATCAAGCCCAACTGGAAAGTACAAAACATCAAGTTGGGATGAACAAAATGCAGAGCTTGAAGTTATGCAAACACTTAATCCATAAAACACATCGTATAACCACACAGATTAAAAGCAACAACCTATAAGCCACTCCAAAATAAATCCGCACAATAATCGGCTACATACCTGCCAGGTGGGGGATTATCAAGAGGACAAGAAGGATGCTTCCACTGAGCCATCTGGCAGCAAAATGAATAATCGCTCAACACTGGAAAGTCTGCCCTTCTCCAGGCACAGAAAATGGGGTGAAAGACCACCTGTAACTAGCAGCCCATGGGAAACTTCTACGCTGTGAACTAGATAAAAAGCCAAGCTTCCCAGGGATTTGGAGTGTATTTTTGGAACTCTTCCCTGAGTAATACCAGCAACTGGAAGCAGTGGGAGGCATGTTGCAGTGATGGAAACTTCCATAACTTAATAGATCTTAATCTGTGACAAGAGCAGACACTCATTTATCCCAACCCTTATCTTCTTATCTGAGCATGCAATCATGAGCACCATATAACATGCTAACTCACTGAATGTCAGAGATGAAAATGCTGTAGCTGGAGAAAAAAAAAAGAGGAATAAGATTGGAGGAAGGGAAGCTGGGAGAGGGAAGGGTGAGTCGGGGACTGTACAGTGGTACCTCGGGTTAAGTACTTAATTCGTTCCGGAGGTCCATTCTTAACCTGAAACTGTTCTTAACCTGAAGCACCACTTTAGCTAATGGGGCCTCCTGCTGCTGCCATGCCTCCAGAGCACAATTTCTGTTCTCATCCTGAAGCACTATTTCTGGGTTAGCGGAGTCTGTAACCTGAAGCGTATGTAACCTGAGGTACCACTGTACTGTTCTATTGCAATAATGTGAAAACCCCAATGAACTATGGATAACAAATGCAATTCTCTCTCTCTCTCTCTCTCTCTCTCTCTCTCTCTCTCTCTCCCTCCACACACACACACACCCCAGCATATAAAACAAACAACCACTGGTGGCCTTCTTAGGGTAATCAGTATGAGTAACTTCCTTCATAACACGTATTCATGTATAACCGATAACCATATGCATTTGACTATTTCTGTCTTCCTCAGCGGTCTATTGTAATTTTAATAGTACCAATAACTCTTCCGTAACCCCTGGGGTACATATAAGTGTAAACCAAACCTTTCAGTCATACTCCTTGTTAGCCTTTAGGTGAATTTTTGTTTGCAGTGCTATCTTTTTTGCAGAGGAAATTGGCATGTGGGCATATAAATAAGCCTCTTAATGTGTGGTCTGCTTTGCCCTGGTAAAGAATACTATACAGTATTCAGTATTAAGTGGAGACACCACTGACTGCTTAGTGATCCACGATATTTGGCAAATTGGCCTGAAAAGCATGATGACATTTCTTTCAAAACAAATGTGCAGGATGTGAATTGGGACTAAAGATAGATACCTTTATCCTTGGGACATCACAGGAAGCCAGCTGTGCAGATTGCACAGGCTGGCCTCATCCACTGCTGTTCTCAATCAGCTGTATGGATGTGAAACATGACATATGTCTGTACCATAGGGATCAGAGGCAGCCCAGTGGATTCAGGGCAATTTGCACATGACCTCAGAATCTTTTCCTCTCATCCTCAGCCTGCTTCTAACATCCTTTATTCTGATATGTCTGAAATGGACAAAGCCATTTGGCTCCACCCTGGAAAAAGTTGGGCAGGACTGCAGTTGAAATTCTGTCCATCAAATCTGTCATTTCTGTGAGTAGGGCTCCTTCTAGAATGGGAGGTTTGTACACACTTTAAAGGACATTTGAAACATATTCTTTCCCTTTAAAGAATTCTTCTCTCTCTCTCTCTCTCTCTCTCTCTCACACACACACACACACACACACACACACGGTTTTATTAAGGTTTTTCATGTTACAAAGCAAATGAATAAGCAGAGAGAGGTACATATATTGTCTCCACTTTCAATTATACTAGGCAATAGAATGAAAGAACGACACGCACCATCCCTCTCTCCCCTCTCCCCCCATCTCCTCGCCCCTAACTGCAAGATGTCTATGGCAAAAGTGTCTCTCACCAAACATCAACAATCTTGTCATTGTAGTTAAGCCCTCACAGAGTGATGGTTCCCCAAAACTTTATAACTTAATCTACAGTGCCCAGAGTTCTTTGAGGGGGGCTGCATGTGCTTCAAATGTGCTTTAAAGGTATAGTATGTATGCAGCCTCAGAAGGTTTGTCAGTCTCTGATTGATTGCCCTTGATATATGCTACATCCGGCAAAAGGCTCCTTCACAGAGTAAGACGCATTGTCTGGTTCTGCTCTGATCTGAAAATTGAGGGTGCCCGGCTCCCTCAAAAATTACATTGGGGAAACTGCCTAGGCCCCTAAGAGTCAGCGCCTATGTGGTGTTTGTGCCTCAGCATTTAACCAAGAAAAAAGCAGTAGAAAGTCCCTTCCCACAGGCTCACATTCTAAGAAGACATGGAACATGAGGAAAAAGGAATGGGAGGAAGGAGGGGAAAGCAATCTCCAGCACAAGTTCTGCCCAGTTCAGTCCTATTTAAAGAAGGGAAAACAGGGGCCTTGAAATTGCCCATCAACAGTTAATACTTTTGGTAGCACATAGGTCACCTGGCCACAGTCTCCCCCATTATGGCGAGATGTATGGTCTTTCCCTTTAAATTATAGCAATTATTTCTAAATTTTCACAAGGCCATATAAAATCAGCATATGCAAATGTAATGCAAACCTCTATCCCTTTTGTCTACCTTTCTTGGTGGTGTGTTTCCTCTTTTCTGGCAATGCCGAAATGACCAGCCTAAAATGGGTCATTGGGCTTCACGCACAGGCAGTGTTTTGAGACTTGGTATTTTCATTTGGTATCTTCATTACATTTGTAGGTAATTGTTTGAGAGCTGGTATTTGTTGTGTTTTCCAAATGCACAAGCAAAGTGCACCTGACCATTCCTGCTGTAGAAAGCAAGCACCCTCAGATACCGTGTTTGTCACATGCAGGGCTGGGAGGGTTAGGTTTCTGCCCATGTCCTGTCTTGGTTGCATTCTCTCTAGCAGCTTTCCCTAAAAGTGCTCCCGGCCATTTATTTTCCCCTCATACATCATAAGATAAACAATCGATGGCATCGTTCCACTGCTGCCCCTCTCCTGCACTACAAGAAGTGAGCTGTACCTCTCCTCATCTTTCTTCCTACCACATCGTTAAAAACAGGTGAAACTGATTCATTGGGATTTGCACATTCAGTTCTCTTAGGCAGTTTAGGGAAGGAGCTGGGGAGGGTGTGGGGAGAGAGAAGAACTCTTTAATGCTGGCCTCACATGACTCTTTGGGAAAGGAAGAGTTAATGTCTGCAAAGCACTTGGTGAGCTGAGCACACCATACATCATTAGCAGGAAAGCTAACAGTCGAGAACTGCAACGCTGGTACCGAAGTCAGCAGCAGTAGCAGCACACTGCAGGGAAGAAATGTGTTCCTATGGCAGCGCACATCCATTGTGGGGGCGCTTGTCTGCACTTCCCACTTCAACACCCCTTCTTGGCGTGTGACACAACTAACACCCACCCCCTTTTCCAGTGGGTTAATGTGCTAAGAAGGGGATTACTGACGAAATCACTTTAATCATGCAACAATGATGTGTTTGTTTCCTACTAATCCACCAAAGAAAATAATCCCCAACAGACACCATTAAAAATGCTTGCCTTGAATCCCACGAGGACCCGTAAACCTCTCCTTTGAAAGCTTGATTTATCCACCTTTTTTGTGTGTTTCCCGTCTTCCCCATTGCTCACAACTCTCCCCTTTCTCCTGCTGCAGGATGGGTTTTGAAGCTGACTTTAATGATGCTATGATTTTACCTAGGGGCAAAGATTCCCATGGAGTCTGCCATTCTTGTCTGCCATGGTTGGCTTTAAAAAATTAAATAAGTTGGAAGCTGACACAGAAGTGGGCAATTGTTGTAGAATGGCTACAGAGCTCCGTTATTAGCCTATGGGTTGTCAAGCCAGAGGACTAGTCACAGTCACAAGCTGAGCTTCATTTGCCCCCGCGCGCGCACACACACACACACACACACACACACACGGAACTAGCACTGGAGGCAAGTTAAAAATGGGTGCTCACTTTTAAAACATTTACACTACTAAAATCCAAAGTTCTTTAAGTGGTCTCTGTGAAGTCCCATAGCACGGCCACCCTGACTGCCGTCTGAGAGACATCATTGAAAATGTCTTCCTTTCTTGGTCCTTTAGGAGTGTTGCCATTTCCTCTCCCCTTAGTTTTGTCCAGTGCCTAGTTTAGCATTAAAGGTAAAGGGACCCCTGACCATTAGGTCCAGTCGTGGCCGACTCTGGGGTTGCAGCACTCATCTCGCTTTATTGGCCAAGGGAGCCGGCGTACAGCTTCCGGGTCATGTGGCCAGCATGACTAAGCCGCTTCTGGCGAACCAGAGCAGCGCACGGAAATGCCGTTTACCTTCCTGCCGAAGCGCTACCTATTTATCTACTTGCACTGGCATGCTTTCGAACTGCTAGGTTGGCAGTAGCAGGGACCGAGGAACGGGAGCTCACTCCGTCGTGGGGATTCAAACCGCCGACCTTCTGATCGGCAAGTCCTAGGCTCTGTGGTTTAACCCACAGCGCCACCCGTGTCCCTTAGGTTTTCTCTATTAACAATGTGTCTTACCTTCATTTACGTCAGCAGCAGGGAGCTGGTGGCCCCCAGGTGTTGGACTGCAGCACCTATCAGCCCGTGTCAGAACGGCCAACCATCAGGAATGCTGGGAGTTGTACTCCCAACAACATCTGGCCAGAAGCACCAGGTTCCCCATTCCTGTTCAACTTCCTCGACAGTCACTTGGTTTATTTCCGTTCAGCCTACAAACGAAACCTTCTGTACCTTTAAAAAAATTATTCATGGCCTTAGACTCAGTAATATACTGCCTGGAATTCCAGCTGAGTCACTTTCTTTTTATATAGATATACTAGCAATTCTGATTGCATTTACTGAATGCAAGAAGTATTTTGGGGTGGGGTGTTAAAAAGAAAATCTGGTGTTTTAATGATTAAACGGTTCAACTTGCAGTGCTTTGAATGTTTTACAAATACTGTCTGATGATGCACTTGTAGCTCATACTGTTACCCCCAGGACTCCTTCTTTTGAAAGATTTTTGTAAGTGGGGGCATCTTTTGCTCTGAGGCTGGCTGCCTCACCTTCTTACCGATATCTTTGGACTGTAGGGCGGCCGCTTGTTTTAAGCTGTGCCCCCCGCTAGTCCTCTCAGTTGCTTTGTAGCCAATTCTGCTGCTCTGTGTGTCATATCAAAGGCATGCTCAAGGACTAAACCAATCTCTCAGGCAAACCTGGATCTCTGCCTGCCTGATCTCATGCCACACACTACGCAGTTTTTAGTGATTCACTCAGCTCCCCAAATGCACAAGTTTGTGCCAACAGCTTGAAAGCAATCGCTATTTCATCCACTATCCGTGCTTTCTCTTTCGTTCCGAGTTCTAATAAAGAATCTGCACCTTTCAGGTTTAATATTTCTTCTGAGTGTGCTTCAGATTCAATATTTCAAATCCAGACATGACCATTTATTATTTGCATTGTCATCAAACTGAAAAGTATTAAATACCTCTCTTGCTTATTCACCTGCCTTATGAATAAATAGTGTTGGATAAAATCTCTCACCTATTTCAATTGACCCACTTGCAATGCAGTGCTGTACAACTCAAATCCTTGTCTGCATATTCTTGAGTAGCTGCAGCATTTCCTTCCCACAACATATTTCTTAGAGATTTTCTCTTGTCCATTTTTTGGGGGGAGGGGCATTCTGTTTTACTGTGTTAAAACAAGGCCTAAGTTCATGGAAGGATCATTTCTCATTTGCCATTGTCTCCATCTTCCTTATTGCAGGGATGGGTGACCTGTAGCCCTCCAGTTCTTGTTGGACTCCAACTCCCTTTATCCCAAGCCAGCAATAGTCACCAGTGGTCAAGGAAGATGGCAGCTGAAGTTCAACAACATTTAGAGGCCCACAGGTCCCCCACCCTCAGCTCGACTGCCTGCCCTATGTAGGCTCCTCAGGGCAGGGACCTGTCTTTTAGATGTAAAGTGCCGTGCACATTAAGGGTGCTATATAAACAGGTCTGGCCCAAAACATTTTGGCCCCTGAGGTGAACCACAAAATCCCCTGTTTCCGACCAGGGAAGAAGGGGTGAGTGTTGATCTACATTGGGAATAAAGGGGAACTAAAGATCTACACTGGGAACAAGGATGGGAGGAGACCAGCAACACATTCTTTTCACCAAAAGGCTGCTGTAAATGTGTTTTGGCTGCCAAGGAGGCGGCAAATCCAGCCTCCAAGGAGTGGGCTGCAGCTGTTGCTGCCATTGCAGTGGCGATGGCAGCAGGCAATGCATTTTTTGGAGGCCAGATCTGCTGCCCCTGTGGATCCTGCCTCCCAAGGCAGTTGCCTTACCTTGCCTTATGAGTGGGTCAGCCCTGTAGATAAAATAAAAACGTTTTACCTCCTCCTGACACTGTGTAATATTTGCTGCTGAACATTCTGTAGGATGATGCAATAGGAAGCTGAAGTGTGGACAACACCCATGTTGAAAATGAAGCTTTCGCCTTCCTGGATCAAAGACTAAATCTTTTGAAATTGCAAATGGATTTCATTATGATGATTAATGTGGCAGATACAAGAGCATTTTATGACCGGTTGTCTCACTGTGCTCTCCTGCTGTGACCCTAAAGTATTAAATATTGACTCTCTTGCTCATCTTTCTTTGTCCAGCTGTGGCTCAATGTGCCAAATGGCTTTTTCTGCCACCTCTCTCCCTGACACCCAAAGAGGTCCAAGGGAGTCAATAAAATATTGCCTGTTCCTGTTCTAATATCAATGTTTAATGTTTGTCTTTAATCTGCAGCTATGGTTCCTAATGAAGAATTGGGGTACCAAAGGACTTTGTTTAACTTTAAGGGCACGAATAATTGCATAGGCTTCTGCAATTTGTTCTTGAAAACAAATGGAGAATGTTATAAATAGTTTATAGCACCCTCACTGGCCAGCTCCTTTTAGCTTTCCCCATGTATGAATAATGGATTATTATCCCAAACTGGGCTTGGCCAGTGCTACAGATTAAGTACCTAGGCAGTAGCAGCTCCCTCTTTTTTTAAAAACTCCAGGTCATCTGGCTCCAGGGCTGGCACCAGGGGTCAGCATCATTGGACAACTGTTAAAGCCCAACCCTGACTCAGGGTCCCTCTGTCACCCCCTGGAGCCTCCTGGTTCTGCTGTTCCTTCCTTTGTTGTTGCTGCCTGTTCACTTGGTCCAGTTCTTGTCTGTACACTACCGATACAATGGTCTCTAGAACATGGTTCATTGGGGAATGGATACCCCTGTCCCACAGGGATGTTGTGGATATACAGCCTGAAGCTGAATAACGGCCTTCTGGTTCCTGGGGGTTAAAACACGAGTAAGCAAGTTTTTACTCGAACTGTTGGGCATGGTGTTGGGGTGTTTATTTCAAAGACAGAACTCCATGCTTTACTTCTGAGTTTCTCTGAAAGGGCTTTGTGCCTCTAGGTGTTGCTATTGTTTGTCTCATTAGATGGCTCTGCACTTGACTGATTGCCTGCACAATTTTCTGCCGCAATTTGAAAATGTCTATATTTTGAAGGGCTTTCATGTGCTCTTTTAGAGTCATGCACATGCCTCATTAGGCACAATATTTTTTGGGGGGGGGGGCATTGACTGGAGGCAAAATGCTGGCCAACCATTAGCATGCGCTGTAATCTGAGAAGAAATGTAAGACCATACAATAGTGCCACGCCAAGAAACACTTTTTTTTTTACTTCCATTTTGCTTTCATTATCATAGGAAATTGAAGTGTAGCATATATATGTGTTGTTTTTTTCCAACTGCCCCCTTCCAATGTCATCGTTCCTTGGTTAGGTTCTGAACAACGGATAGAAGCATGCAAAAGCTTCTTCCAACTTCCAACAATGAGGCTTTGAGTGTGATTTAGTCCGCAGGGCCCAGTGTCTTAACCTGTTCTTAATGGCCCCCTGGGTAGGGTTCCTTTATACAGTGCTACCTCAGGTTACATACGCTTCAGGTTACATACACTTCAGGTTACAGACTCTGCTAACCCAGAAATATTACCTCAGGTTAAGAACTTTGCTTCAGGATGAGAACAGAAATTGTGTAGCGGCGGCAGCAGGAGGCCCCATTAGCTAAAGTGGTGCTTCAGGTTAAGAACAGTTTCAGGTTAAGAACCGACCTCCAGAATGAATTAAGTTCTTAACCCGAGGTACCACTGCAGTCTGTTGCTGCTGTTTTGTTTTATTTTTTAAAATGACAAAGTAATATACTTCTCTGTACCTGAGAAGTTCTCTGAGTCCAGCCTTATTTGGTACCACTGTATACTCCATGTAAGTCTTTCCATGAACACACAGTCACCTGGGCTGAAGGAAGGTCTTACACATGGGATGTATCTAATGCTAGTTCTACTCAGAGGAAACCCATTGAAATGAATGGACATGACTAACACGAGTCTATTAATTTCAGTGGGTCTACTCTGCTGAGGAGTTGTGGTTGTTGTTGTTGTTGCAATATATATGAGATGGCTAGATGAGGCTCATCAATCTGGGAACATAGCCCTTCTAGGAAATGGAAAACTCTGAACCTAAACACCTGCTGCTTTGCAGCTATAATCGTTTGTGAAAATGGCTTTGGGAGTAAACCTTGAGGAAAAATCTGTACCTACTGTCTTGTGGGACATGTTTGGGAGAAGAAAGGAGTAAAGCCTACGCAAATCCAGAGTGGAGTCCCTAAAATGGTTGGATAGTGCCTTATATGCCTCCTTCCAGCAATTCCTGCAGCCAAACTGGTGCCCAATGTATTGCTCTGCTTTCCTTTGGAGCACATCAATGAGGCTGAGGCAGGAGGTCTGGTTGAGTGAGCAGCTCAGGACCTTCATGCACACTGTCCAGGCTTGTACTCCAGAGAGGTTACTTGAGTGCTGCTAATGCAGCAAAAACGACGCAGGAGTCAGCAGTTATAAGTTACCGGTCTCTGCAGCCATAACAGGCCCTGTGATTCTCCAACAGTTGGCTTGAGACAGGCAGATGCCAACAATATGAGGTTTTTTTGTGATTATATATTGCAATTCTGTGGCATTTTGATGGACCGTGATATATTTTGATGCTTAATGTGTCATTTTCTTTCGTGGTTCTTGGTCATTTTAGTTATGTACATTGTTTAGTGATATTTATTTAACTGTGTTACTTAAAATGTGGAATTATTAGTATTAGTAATCATTGTTTGGTTTTGAATGAGGAATTCGTATTGTCTTTCCTATATTGATTGCTTTTTGTAAACTGCTTAGAGACTTCTGTTGAAATAGGAAGTGGCATATAAATTAGCAGTTTAATAAAAAAGTGTCTCATTGCTAACCATGCACAACGTTAACCCCAACATCAAAGCTAATGATAAATACTGTAGAAAAAAATGCCTTGAGAAATAGTCTTGACTTTCTGCATGCACCAGCATTTAAGCAGTCAGTCTAAAGGTGAGTTCCTGATTTGCTAGAATAGGAGGCTGTTTGCACATAATGTTGTTTAGGGGAGGTTGGGATTGCCAGTCCTTGGATTCTGGTGCCTGGATAGGATCTAAGATGGGGTGTTTTGTGGGACAGAGGGAGGAGAGACTGGACCCAGGTTCATGGAACTGGAGCCCAGATTGAATAATGTGAGCACTATACTGTTCCTTCAAAACAGAGAAGAAAAGAAAGCTGGCAATCTTAGCAAGCTCCCTTTGGTACCAGAATCTGAGCTCCGAACTAACCACTCCCATGTGTGTTTGTACTCAACAGCGATAGAAGGCAGACGGGACCAGTGTGAGGTGCCCAGGGATCCCAAGTACCCCGACTGCTCTGGGAAAGTGGAGGTGAGTAAAGTAGATTCAGATTTGTGCTCTGAACAGAAAAAAGGTAGAAATGAAAGCAATGCGTCTATTTGGATGACAGTTAAAAGAAGATGGAATCTTTTTTGTTCACACATTGTTCCAGCAAGCACTGCAGCAGTAAACCAAATTATTACGATGTGAGAAAACATCTTTTCAATGCATTTTTCTCTCCCCCCCCCCATATTAGAAAGGAATATAAGTGGGTTATAAAAGGCATGGGTAGTGTTTCAGAGGGACGTGGGTGGCGCTGTGGGTTAAACCACAGAGCCTAGGACTTGCTGATCAGAAGGTCAGCGGTTTGAATGCCCTCAACAAGATGAGCTCCCGTTGCTCGGTCCCTGCTCCTGCCAACCTAGCAGTTCGAAAGCATGCCAGTGCAAGTAGATAAATAGGTAGCGCTTCAGCAGGAAGGTAAACGGCATTTCCGTGTGCTGCTCTGGTTTGCCAGAAGTGGCTTAGTCATGCTGGCCACATGACCCGGAAGCTGTACGCCGGCTCCCTCAGCCAATAAAGTGAGATGAGCGCCACAACCCCAGAGTCGGCCACGACTGGACCTAATGGTCAGGGGTCCCTTTACCTTTACTTTACTTTTAGTGTTTCAGAGATCACCTGGGGAAATGAACAGCGATAGTTAAGTCAAGTTTTCCATGAGCCAGAGTTGGACCAGTGGGTGTCCTGCCCCACCAAGAATAAGGATTTGTTCCTCCTCAACAAAATTCAAGCACACAAACACTGACTTCTTGGTTTAGTGATACAACAAAATGGTATCTTATTCCTTAGAAGATGAAGATTTCTTGTTGAGAACAAATCAGTAGCAGCTGGTGCTGCCTGCCCTCAAGTGATTCTGCTCCAAACTGACAACACCCACCTGACCTGTCCAGTTCTGCTGCCCACTCAAGTACCCCGCTGGCTCAGGGTGGACTTTTCAAGATCCATGTCTCCCTTACTATGCTTAATCAGTCCTGAAGTCCCCCTTTAGCTACTATGGCTGTGAATATGGTGCTCAGAGAGGGTAAGGGACAACTTAAGGGAGTTACTGTTTATTGCAACAAGAGACTGTACTCATTATAAGCAGGCAGAAGCTTGCAAACTTAAAAATAACAGTTCTTATTTAATGTGTCCTTTTTGGACACTAAGAAGCCATTGAAATAACTTCATTTCTTTAAAGCCATCCTGGAAATGTGGCAGCCCCACTTAGTGTGGAGGGCTGGCTATGGCCCTGCAGGTCAACTCTGAACTTTAAAGGAACTTTAAGGGACATGGGTGGCGCTGTGGTCTAAACCACTGAGCCTAGGGCTTGCCGATCGGAAGGTCAGCGGTTCGAATCCCCGCGCCGGGGTAAGCTCCCGTTGTTCGGTCCCTGCTCCTGCCAACCTAGCAGTTTGAAAGCACGTCAAAGTGCAAGTAGATCAATAGGTCTGACAGGAAGGTAAATGGTGTTTCCGTGCGCTGCTCTGGCCACATGACCCAGAAAAACTGTCTGCGGCGAGTCGGCTACCTCAGCCAGTAAAGCTAGATGAGCTTCGCAACCCCAGAGTTGTTCGTGCCTGGACTTAACTGTCAGAGGTCCTTTACCATTACCTTTTTATTCCCCTGGATTTTATATATTGCTCCACCACCAGATAAGAACAGAGGAAGATCAAGGCCCATCTAGTCTAGAATCCTCTTCTCATACTGGGATCTGATTGGCTACTGGGAAGCCCACAAGCAGGACCTGATTGCAACAGTGCTCTTCCCGCTTGAGATGGTGAGATTCAACTCCCATCATCCCTGACTATTGGCCATAGTGGCTGGGCTGATGGGAGTTGGAGTGCAGCAGCATCTGGAGGGCACCAGCTTGAGGAAGACCTCCCTATGGGGTAATATATGCACTACAGCTGCAACCATAGCCCTAATGTGTCAATTAGTGCTGTGCTGAACCTTCTCAGAGATTTAATGTTGGTCATTTGAAGGAGGAGGGTGAGGGCAAAATGTAGATACCCCCCCCCCAAAAAAGGTAGGGTGGGTAGAACTTCATTAGTTTCAAGGGACCAGATTTGTTGAGGTTGATGAGTAGGTTGTGCTTTTCTTACATGAGGTGGCCAGGGTGTGTCTCTTTTCAGATCAAACATTTTTGGAAAGCCCTAAATTCAAGGAAAGAAGACATTGTTGAGCTTGACTCTAGTCTGGCCCTGTAAAGAGATATGAGAGGTGTTGTGGACTCTCCTTCTTTGGAGGCTTTTAAGCAGAGGTTGGATGGCCATCTGTCATGGATACTTTAGCTGAGATTCCTGCATTGCAGGGGGTTGGACTAGATGACCCTTGGGGTCCCTTCCAACTCTACAATTCTATGAAATATTCACTGAGAGAGAGAGGATGCACACCTTCTATGTGTGAAGTCTGAGCAACTAGGTTGCCCTGCCTTGCATGATTCATGGACTAATGTAGCATTTATATCTCTGTTAATTATTCATATGCAACAAAATGCAAAGGAAGCACCAATGGATTTATTGTCTTGCTTGTTTTTAATCTCAAGCGTTATCTCTGCCCTGGGGAACAAGCAAAGTGTTGTAACCTGATGCTGGTTTTGAGTACCACATTCTGCTTAGAGCAGCACATTGTCTTGACTTGAACACAACTCGGGCATTTGATTGGCCGGTGCAATTGTGTGCAGCTCTGTATCTCCACCGACCCGTTTAGCTTAACAGTAAGATTAACATGAAGTCATTCCCCGCACTGCACCCCTTCAGCTGTTATTTCAGCCTGCATGCCCCTCAACCAGCTACTTGACAAAACAAATTAACTGCCAGATTAACAAGACACAACCGTTGCATTACTCAGATTGTCCCAGCTACATAGCGGTCATTTTCTCCCATCCTCTTCCATGACGGGGTTAAATTTTAAGTGTAATTTAATTGCTGGAGGCAGTAATTCGATCTCCTGTCTGGATGATTGGTGTGTTTTACATATCGGGAGTGGAGGGCTGTCTCCTGAGTGGCTTCGTTTGTGTAGTTAAGTTTGGAAGAGGCTGGCACCAGCAATTACGGAGGATGATAGATCTACATGGAGAACTGGAAGCCCGGGCTATTGCCTTGCATGCAAAATCACCTTGCGAGAGAACCTCACTAAATAAATTTAGCACAGATATCAGCCTTTCTGAACCCGGTGGCCTCCATAAGTTTTTGACCACAACCTCCATCAGTGGAGTCATTTCCAGAATATCAGGAGGGAGGCTAGCTCTGCTTTTCTGGGGGAAAGAATACATGTGTTAGCTTCGCTCTATGGGGCAAAACCACTGCAGATAAGGATCAGGCATTTTCTACACTTATCAGCCAGCGTGCTTTTGTTCTGGCAAATTTCATCTGAAGTGCTGTGATATTATTTATTTCCTCCACAACCTGTGCTGATCAGTGATAACAGACCTCAGTGATAAGCAAAATAAGCTTTGTGAGATCTAAGCTAACGGATAAAATGTAAGCTCCTTGGCAGGATCTCCTATCCATTTTTAGATAAAAGCTTTAGATGAGTTCTCTGGGTAATAAAAATTCTATTCTATTTAAAGAGGTGAACCACCCTGAGACCTCCAGGTATAGAGCAGTATAATAATAATAATAATAATAATAATAATAATAATGGTGATGATGATGATGTAAATTTATTAAATTATTTCCTTAGGGCTGCTTTGCATGTCATTTTATTTATATACAGTATAAGGAGAAGAAAATGTGTGGTATACCATTGTGTATTAGCCTACACATACATGTATACAGCCTTGCTGTGTTTTTTAATGAGACTATGCTCTACAAATATATCAATAAATATACATATTTCAGATCTTTATCCTTTTCAGCAATGATTTTGACCCTTAGATTGGTGCCACCAGCAAATCTTACCAGAATTTCCTATTCTTTACTGACTCAGAATTGTTTTCACAGTTTCTATTGAAAAAAATTAGCTCCCACAACAGGAGGTTTGGTTTGTTATGTATTTAATGGTCTCCTTTTGTATTTTAATGCTGTAAACCACCTGTGGTTTTTAATAAATTTTTTTTTAAAAAAAATCAAATAAAAAGTTCAGGAGCTGTTTTGTTGACTACACCTCCCTAGTCTGAAAGTCTGTCTTTTCACTGCATCCTTTTGATTTCTTTCCTTTAACAGGATCTCTGTCTGCCATATAAATACCTTTGTAACAACTTCTTCCAGTTAAGCCAATCATTTGCCAATACTCATGCATCATATCCCTTGAAAGTCCAAAGAAATGAGCTCAGCCTCCAGAAATGTTAGCCTCTTCTCAGTGTAAATCCAAGCCTTAATCTGATGAGCCCTTGATATCATTTGTTGCATTCAGAAGCTCCACTGTTGGTTACATCTTTGTGTAAAGGCTCACCTAACCAATACCCCTACCTTTGCCTTTCAGTGGATGAGAGCCAGGTGGACATCAGACCCCTGCTATGCATTCTTCGGTGTGGATGGCACAGAGTGCTCGTTCCTCATCTACCTCAGCGAAGTCGAGTGGTTTTGCCCCGTGCTGTCTTGGCGAAATCAGACAGCGGCTGCATCTTCCACAATTCCACCACCCAGAGCGCAGGTGAAGCTTGTAGGCCTTGAACCATGCCAGTCAAGTTACATCCTCACTTATTTGACAAAGGTTGTTTTTGTCTGAAACAGTTGGTTTCGATGCTCTCAGACAACAGGAATAGGCAGCTGTGAGAGAAAAGATTACTGTCCCTGGCTGAGTGTAGGAAGGGCAAGAGAGAAAGATCATGCCCAGTGGTGGTTATGTCACAGACTATGTGGGAGCATGGTCTCGCACTCATGCTAGGGTGCTCCTGTCTGAGTTGAGGAGAAGTAAGGAGAGTGTGGGTAATGATCCCTCAGTCTGCTCTGTAACCTGGTACAACATTGCCCTCTTTCCTCCCTGCCATATTGCTCCCAGTAAGGTGTTGGTGCCAGTGGGTGGGGTGTTCACATCCTTGAGTGGCAGCAGTAGTTTGTCCCAGGAGTCTCTTCCATCTGCCTGATAGACAGGAAGTGGGGAGTGTGTATGGGGACAAGGTTGTTATCAACTCTTCAAGCAACAAGTATACCTAACAAAATGGTACCCCATGAAAACAGTGTATAAGCCCATTCTATCCACCCTGGAAATTCTTCCATCAATTCTTCCTTCCCCAACATGCACAGGGGAGAGGAAATTGAGTGGGGTATCTTGGGGAAGAATTATGGGTGGATGGATGGAACTACGAATAGAAGCACTCTGCACTACAGCATTTAGTTGTACATCAAAACTGATTTACTTTTATCAACAAATTAGCTGTCCCTATATCACAGTTAATTTTCAAGATGGCACTGAACATATTGGCTGCCCCTTGGTGTCTGAATTTGTTTGCTCCAATCATGAGGCATCTTCATCCAGGGCCATAACTAGGGGGGGTGAGGTGGGCCCCCACCAGGGCACAGGTGAGAGGGGGAGGTGCAAAATCAGCTAAAATATGTTCATAAATATATCTATAAATAAAAATATCGATTATTTCCCCATAAGAAAAGGTTTTAAATAGAGGGTGAATTGAATGGGTGGAGAGGGGGTTGTAGGAGAAAGAAGAACTAATTTGCCCATGGGTAGGGGGCGCAATCTGGAAGGTTCTGTCAGGGGCGCAAGATCACCTAGCTACAGCTCTGTCTTCAGCCCTGTTCAAATGGAGAAGAGAAAGGAAACATACTTTGCCTATGTAACCTACATGCACCATAGGATCTCCTTGCTCAGACAGCCATTGCAAGGGTCACCCTGGACCTTGTGTTAACAGGAAGAGTCTGTTGTTGTTTCCCTAGGCGTCTTTTCAGAGAGACCTCTCCTACCTCCTGGAGTTGATTGGCAGTGGCAAAGAGTCTTTGATCTTCATGAAGAAAAGGATTCGGCATTTGGCCACGCAGTGGCTGAGGGCTTCACATAAACTGGAGCAGAAGCTAGAAGACAAAAAGAGAGATCAGAAACAGGTACAAAATTAAATCTGCTGCTTGTGAACCAGCTTGTTATTTGTGGGTATGGTGGAGTCACAGCAAGACTGAGGGCCATATCCAGCTGAAGCGTCCCATCAGTACAAAGACCATATAACACTGGTCCTGAGAGACCTGCATTGGCTCCCAGTATGTTTCTGAGCACAATTCAAAGTGTTGGTGCTGACCTTTAAGGCCCTAAATGGCCTCAGTCCTGTATACCTGAGGGAGCATCTCCACCCCCATCATTCAGCCCGGACACTGAGGTCCAGCGCCGAGGGCCTTCTGGCAGTTCCCTCACTGTGAGAAATAAGGTTACAGGGAACCAGGCAGAGGGCCTTCTCGGTAGTGGCGCCTGCCCTGTAGAATGCCCTCCCATCAGATGTCAAGGAAATAAGCAACTATCTTACTTTTAAAAGACATCTGAAGGCAGCCCTGTTTAGGGAAGTTTTTAATGTTTAATGCTGTATTGTGTTTTTAACATTTGGTTGGGAGCCGCCCAGAGTGGCTGGGGAAACCCAGCTAGATGGGCTGGGTATAAATAATAAATTATTATTATAAATTATTATAAGGACTCCACTTCCACAATGGGACCTCCCTGCTCTTCCCCAAATCTGTACTGGAGTGTTAGAGGAAACCCAATTCCCCTCAGATTGCAGGGGGAGATGGGGAAAGTTTTGTTGCACAAATGGACGTCCTTGTGCTGATGGGCTGTAATAGTTGGATTCACCCTGAGAGTTTACCTTGCTATGTGCTCTGTATATTTGCTTCTCCCTTGTACACCCAGCACTGATATCTTGCTCTGTCCCTCCCTCCCTCCCTCATTAGATTTTGATCCACATTGGCTTCTTGACAGAAGAATCAGGAGATGTTTTCAGCCCTCGCGTCTTAAAGGGAGGCCCCCTGGGGGAGATGGTCCAATGGGCAGATATTTTGGCAGTCCTCTTCATCCTGGGCCATAGCCTGAAAATCACAGTTTCTTTGAAGGAGCTCCAGAGGTGGGTTTGTTGATGAAATAGAAGCTGAACAGTGACATTTGTTTTGAAACATGTCTTTGGACTATGGCTCTTGCTCATTGTGATCACAATGCTTAGATTACAGCAGTGGGGAACCTCAGGCTTGGGGGCTGCATGTAATGTCCCCCGGCCATGCCCCTCACTGGCCATACTTCAAACCCTCCTTGAGTGTTTCTGTCTGACTAGACTGTCACCTTGAGCTCTAATAATCCCCTTTGCTTGCCTCGATGGAGGAAAGAAATCTGTGGTGTCGAAACCAGCCTACTGTCCATAGGTAAATTCACACTCATTGCTCTGTCCCCTTTTGCCCTGCTGACATGTACCTCTGCTCCTGGAAGTTTTCTCAGAAGGGAATGTGGTCCCCAAACTGGAAAAGTTATTGCCTGCTTATACCTAGGGTTGTGCCAAAATTCCACCCATTTCAATGTGGAGGTCAAAAGTCAAAAAGTCACAATTTGTGGGGCCCTTGGTGCAAAACAGACCCTAAGTCACTGAAAATGTTTGGCCTTTTCATGTTTGTTTTTGGTCTCTGGTTTTTCACAATCTGCTGCTGCTGCTGCACAACTTTACCCCTTAGTTGGGGATCCCTTTCTCCTTCATAGAATTATTCCATAATGGAAGTAAAAACGCAGCATTCCTGCTTAGCATGAGGAGGCAATGGTCCTTGGACTAACCTCATGAATGATCCTAGCCAATCAGAAACGTGAGGACAAATGAAGCCTGTTTGGGGCAATGCTTTCTTAATAGGCTGCCATGTTTGTCCCTTTCACAGTGATTCTCTCCTCCAGCAGCAGCAGCACCCCCAAAAAATATATCTTGCTGCAATAGTGGGGCACTTCTCATCAGTGCTGAAGGTGTGAGCGGATATTACCCTCCTCATTCCAACTCAGCCCTACTTACAGCTCAAACTGAGTTGCAGAAAGCAATTAGCCTAACTAGGGGGGGATTGCTGCTGGTGGGGGTTAAGAACAAGAAAGCGCAAACAACATCACAGCAGGGATAGGCTGATTAGTATTTAACAGCCGTTGATTCAGTCAGAATGGCATGCTCCCTTATCAGCCCTAGCTGTCGCAAAAATACAATTTTTAAAATGAGTGCTTAGCTTCCCAGTAAATGTTACAAGAAACACAGTTGAATGTTGCAAGAGATGGCTCCCTGTCCCCCAACTAGAACGCCTGGTATGACTAATACTGAGATGGAATTTCTCTGAAGGAATTTCTCTGTGAAAATTTCTGAGACTTTCCTCTTTTTTCACATATGCACACACATCTGAAAAATAATGCCACTTTACACATTTTTCTGCTGAACATTCTCCACCATATTTTGAAGATAGGGGCCATGCAGCCAACACAGTTGCCGTCGCTGCCACCACCACTTGTAGCTGCCACAGCAGAAAGGCCACAGAGAGGAAAGAAGGGCTGTGCTACTACCACTGTTCATCAGGAGGGCAAACGTGGCCCCATGACCATGGGTGCCCGGGGCTGTCAGTGCCATGCGGCGTGCATGGCCCTGGCATTGAAATTTGTGGGTGCCCAGTCCCTTCATGGGTAATTTTGTGCGTGTTCGGGCACCCAGGGCTCCAGGGAGTTGGCACCTTAGCTGTTCATGGTGATCTCCAGCCCCCTAAACCCCTTGGAGCATTTCTCCTCTCCTGGTGAAACTCAGTGAAATGCAACCCCCACACACACCACTATGCCTCAATTTCTCTGGCCACAGATAGAGTATTTCAAGTATTTGTACCCAGTTTTAGGTTCTGACTAGGGGGTGGTGGGGAAATGTGGTTCAGTTTGCATTTGAAGGTGAACTTCCCTAATATACACTGCCTGAAACAATGAGCAAACCAAGCTACCCTAGACATCCAAATTCACACTGCTCTGAATTTTCAATGCAGTTCTCCAGAAAAATAATATGTGCCAAAAAGGAATATATTAGAGTAAACTCTGCATAAAAGAGCCATATATTTGCGAGGATAGCATACAAAAGTGCACTACATTAGGAGAAATTGTTTGCAAAACGCGTATATTAGGCAAAATTGTGTGTAAAAATGTGAACATTGGAAGAAATTTGCAGTAAGTGGTGGATGAATTTTCATGTGGACTTTTAAAAAAACAAAAACCCTTCAGACTGATGTAGAAATGTAGAAAACTGAATTTAAAACTAGAAAAAAAGAGAAACAGAAAAACCAAAATGGACAGACTCACCCACCCCTAATTCTGACATTGTTATGGTCACAGCCAGCAATGTGGAGCTGGGAATGGGGAAATACATAGTGTAATGATGTAAGAACACATGTTTGGTTGTTAAGAGGGGGAAGAGGATTAAGGGACATAAAGGGCACAATTAAACCCCTGTGTCTATGCCAAGCTCATATTGGGGCTTCAGTTTAGCAAACGTGCAGTGGCTGCTCTTTCACACAGTTCAAGCCCTTTCTTAATCTCAGAACAGTAGGAGATTTGGCCTCTGCATTCCAGCACTGGTTTCTGATGTTTGTTGGGCACTTAGATCTCCTGCACCATCAGCTCTCTTTGTAACCAGTAGAGGATCCTCTTCCCATTCTCTAGCAATTTCCCCTTCCAATCACATACCTAACAGACAGTACACTCTACTGTTGCAAGTGGTTTCCTACCAGCAGAGGGTCTGAAAAAGCATAATTTCCTCTGCTCCTCTTTTAAGTTACTGCAGCATGCTCCTGTTTTGTAACACAGCACAAATCCATGAAGCGTCTCCTTTTGTAACATTTTAAAGGGCAGGAGAAGGGCCTTCGATTCCGTGAAACCAGCACATTTTTTATTGCTTTGTAGCACTTTGTGGAGCATTCCCTGCAAATCATCTCAGCTTCTTGCTGTATATTGCAGCTACAGAACGGTTAGTAGGGTGGAGGGTAGCTGGTTATGGAGCTAACAAAGACTTTAGCAGAAGAGATTACTCAGAAAATGCTAGTAGCACTTAAGGCCATTTATGTATTTAATTATTGTCACCAATGAACCTTGAGGCAGGGCCATAGGCAAATAAAGGCGCATTGTAGCTTCTGGAACTCTTTGCTCTGGGTATGGTGATTTGATCCTGTGTGGTTCTGTGGTTCCATGGTTGCTCCCCCAAAAAGTGCATTCTTGGCTACCTGACCCATTTCCCTGTTCTCATTCTCAACATGAATTTGAGGAGATGAACTGTGCTACACTCAAAGCCTGTTTGGGGAGTTGGGATACAACAACATCTGGAGGGACACAGGTTGTGTACTCTCCAAAACTCAAGCTAATTCTTTTGTTTAATTCACCCCACCTCTTTCACCACAATCTCAATACTGCAGCTGAAACACATTTGCATAATTGTTTTAATTTGCCCAACCAATTTTGGTCAGAGCATGCAAAAACCTAACTTGACTGTAGCATCCCTTTAATGCAGATATCATAGAGTCGCAGCTGTCAGGCCTTATGCATTTCTTTCTTATGTCTGCCTGGAAGAATACAGGAGCCCTGATCTCAGTTGGTGATGATGTGAAGACAAAACGTCTGGCTCCCACTTTGACTCCTGTAGTTTAAACTAGATGCCTGTTTTTTCACTGTTTTATCACACACACACACACACACACACACACACACACAATTCCCTTGCATTTCTTAGTGAATTTGCTGGCCTCAGTTTTATGCATCCTGACAGCCAAGAGGTGAAATGTACATGATTATCTGGTGCAAACCATGCAAAGGAATTGTTGTAACATCAGCAGCAATTTGCAGCTCCCGGGAAAGAGAGTGCAAGTGTCAAGCTGAATCAGTTAGGGTCCAGACAAGACTCCTTTGCTGCTAACTTTTGTGCTGAGTGTGGAGAGTTCCCAGTTGGAAATGGATGTCGCTGGTTGTGTGTTGTGCAGTAGAGGACAAAAGCTCAATCCCGCTGGAATGGGGATGCAAAGCAGAGTTATAGATGAAACTCAGAAGTTTCTCCACCATCCTTTGGGAGGACGGGTGGGATATATGGTAAATTTAATAAATAAATGGAACAATCCTCGTTTGATGATGGCAACTTCATAGCTTGCATGTGCAAACCGGTCAGATAGAAAATGACAACTAGAATTCTTATAGCTTCTCACGTTTGTTGTGGGAAGTTTGGGAGACCATGAAAAGTGAACCTCTGCCTTTTCAGCATGATCTCCTGACACTGTTAAGGGAACAACTGCACTCAGAATTTCAGGGAAGAACCATTGCTCAGTGATAGCGTATCTGGTGAAGTCCCAGCTTCATTCCCTGAAATCTCCAGGTAGGGACATCCCCCCTTTTAATCTAAGCATAAGAATTCTTCCTTTCAACTGGGGCGAGCTAGAAAAGGTTGTTCTTCAGCACAGTCACAACAATGCAGTTCTATTCCATGCATCTAGGGGTCAACAAGAAAAGCCATAGTCTGTTGAGACTTAGTAAAATAAGTGCACAGCAAACCTTTGACTGTCCTTCTTTTGTGTGAGGCCTGTGCAATTATAGAGGATGTATGTATTTGTCTGTGCTTCTTTGGTTCATTATGCTACAGAAATGAGTGGCTCATATGCAAGAAAGCACCAAACTTTCAAAGTGAGGCATTTTAATTACTTCTGGCAGATGAAAGCTTTTTATTTCCGTGGCTTGTTTTTCTCCCCACAAAGCAAGAAAGGCGTCGAGGCTCTGAATTTTAAATCACTTCCCACAATATACAGGATATACCTGCACCAGGATCATTCACACAAAACAAGCCATCGTGTGCACTGCTTGTGAAAAACAGCAAAGGCACATACATCAGAGCACCAACATTATGCCCAATTACTAGCTGTGATCCAATAGGCACATATGCATGTTCCAGAGTCAACCCCATTCTCCCCTCTGAGTTTTTCCTGTCACCAGTATGGATGCTAAGTTTTTCCCCATGTTTCCCTTTCCCCATGTGCGAACAAAGTAACAGTGTTAGGACAAGTATTGAAATTCATTTAGAGTCATGTGGTTTCCTGGGTAGTTTGTTGGATTTAGGGCCATTTTTAAAAATCCCTGCCTAGCCATGAAGCTCACCGGATGACACTTTTTCAGCCTAACTAGAGATCATTCTGAAATCCTCACCATCTGATTTAAGAATACAATAAGTTGTAGCCAGATTCTTTGTGTGTGGCGTTTACCACTGCAGAGGAGGACCCCCAACTCTTCAGTATAACACTGCAGGGGAAGAGAATTAAAAATCACATCAAGATCACTGGCTTTTGGGGGGCATCATTTTATCATGTATATACAGTCACATGCATGCATTGTATTGCAAAGGATAAAGTGGAACAAGAAGAACTGAAAACTGCAGCTAAGTACATATCTTCCAATTCCAGAATTAATTATAGAAATTCTCTATGTTGGAATTATATTGAAGAGAGTGAAATGCACCACAAAAAGGAGCTTCTGAAACAATAAAGGAATATAGTACAGGAGGAAATGACACAGCCCTAAGCGAACACACCTCACAGAGTTTTTGTGAGGATAAAATGTGATGATCTCCATGTATGCCCCTCTGAATTCCATGGAGGAAGGGCAGAATGCAAACAATGGTAACCCTTTGGACCATTTATCTTTTCTGATAAAAGACAGACCATCCTTATAGGGAATCACAGGCATCAACACCTGTGATGAGTGTAGCAGATTCAGAGAAGAAAGGGGATTGTATAAACAAGGTTTGGATAACAGGCTTGACATGTTTCATAAGAACATAAGAGAAGCAATGCTGCTTAAGATATTTTAAAATGCAGGAAATGTAATACCTAAATCTATTTTTCCAAGGTCAGAATTTTGTTTCGGGCACAATCCTGGAAGCAATTCTTGTGATCATTGCCCATTTTGCGCAGAAATGGATGAAAATGTTACATTTCCTTTGTTACATTTGTATAGAATGTAAAGATATGGATGTGTGTGTGCCTGTGCCTTGCAAGTTTCATAAAGTTGGGTTCTAGTTGGGAATGATTGTGGAAAGGCTTAGAAAACAGTCTTTCAAGCAGCATCTCTGTGGCTTAAGGAGGCTAGAAGCATAGCTCAGGTGTGTAGTCTCTATGGATTCCAATGTGAGGAGGCTTTCTTCATATTTTATTGTGCAGAACATTCAATCTTTAATGTGGATCAGAGAGTGAGGGCTATTTCACACAAAGCATATACTTTGTTTTTTTTTATAAGATATTTATTAGGATTTTCAGAATGTTACAAAACAAAAAAAAAGAAAAAAGAAAAAATACAAAGTAAAAATGGTTAAAAACAATTCCTTCCTTCCATTACTTATCCTTCATTTGCTTAGTTTTCAGGACCTCCTCACACCTCCCTTTTTTGTATTCCAGTTCAGTTGTTAGTTCAGCAAATCCCTCCCCTCTTTGTATATCCTAATCATTAATCATAGAATATTGTAATTTTAGATTTTTACCCATTAATAAACCATTTTTTCATATTCCCTTATAACATTTCAGCTAAAGAGCACTTAGTTTCTATCCAACATCATTCTAACATTCATTAATTTTGCAATATTTCTGTAGATAGTCTTTAAACTTTTTCCAATCTTCTCCCATCGACTCTTCTCCCTGGTCTCGGATTCTGCCAGTCATTTCCGCCAATTCCATATAGTCCATCACCTTCATCTGCCATTCTTCCAAGGTGGGTAGATCTTGTGTCTTCCAATACTTTGCAATGAGAATTCTTGCTGCTGTTGTGGCATACATAAAAAAAGTTCTGTCCTTCTTTGGCACCAATTGGCCGACTATGCCTAGGAGAAAGGCCTCTGGTTTCTTCAAGAAGGTATATTTAAATACCTTGTTCAATTCATTATATATCATCTCCCAGAAAGCCTTAATCCTTGGGCACGTCCACCAAAGGTGAAAGAATGTACCTTCGTTTTCTTTACATTTCCAACATTTATTATCGGGCAAATGGTAGATTTTTGCAAGCTTGACTGGTGTCATGTACCACCTGTATATCATTTTCATAATATTCTCTCTTAGGGCATTACATGCCGTAAATTTCATACCTGTGGTCCACAACTGTTCCCAGTCAGCAAACATAATATTATGTCCAAGATCTTGTGCCCATTTAATCATAGCAGATTTCACCGTTTCATCCTGAGTGTTCCATTTCAACAGCAAGTTATACATTTTTGACAAAATCTTAGTTTTGGATTCTAACAGTTCTGTTTCCAATTTTGATCTTTCCACCTGGAAGCCAATTTTCTTATCCAAATTATATGCCTCCATTATCTGGTAATAATGAAGCCAGTCTCGCACTTTGTCTTTTAATTTCTCAAAACTCTGCAATTTCAATTTGTCTCCTTCTTGTTCCAAAATTTCCCAATATTTCGGCCATTTGGCCTCCATATTGAGCCTTTTCTGAGCCTTTGCTTCCATCGGTGACAACCACCTTGGGGTTTTATTTTCGAGTAAGTCCTTGTATCTTATCCAGACATTTAACAATGCTTTCCTGACAATGTGGTTTTTAAACGCTTTATGTGCTTTAACCTTGTCATACCACACACAAAGCATATACTTTGGAATAGTTGTGCTTTAGTCGCTTGCTTTGTACAGGGAACCTGTGTGGTGTCATTATCATCAGGTCATAGACCTCCTTTGTTTTCCCTTTTCTCAGTATACAAAAAAACCCCATTAAAATATGAAAAGGGCAGAACACTAACTCAAACAGGGATGGTGCTTAACAAGAGTGGGCCTTGACACATTGCCCACTGATGCTCTCTCGCATCTCCTGCTGATTCCTACCCACCCACCCACTGGAGCTGCTGATCAGGCTCCGAGCCGTGAGTTTACGCAGTGGTGCCAAGCTCAATTTCCACAGCTGTAGATCACCGTAGTGCTACTCTTCTCTCTGTTAAAGAGCCATGGTTTTGATGTGTGCAGTGATAATATTGGACAGGTTTGCCTACCATCTGAAGGTAGGCTATACAACTTGATACAATTACCTTTCATTTTAGCCATGAATTTTTTAAACCAGTCTTTTCATTTGCCTTTCTTTTCTTTTTTTGCCACAGAGCAAATTTTAAAACTGAATTTAACTATCATGCTGCCTTTTCAGTCAATGCCACTTATTTTTTTTAAAGAAGTGTGTTTCTTTTTCATTTTGTTTTTAACTGCACGGAAGTGCTGAAATATTAAAAAGCACTTTGGTGGAAAAAAAAGATTTTAAAAAGTGATATAAATGGACTTCAAAATGGACATGCTCGAGTGAATGCTTTCTTTTATGCCCACACATGCTGTCACGTCATGCTCACTGCTGTGGACAGAACACAGCAGAATGCACACACATAAAAATGTTAGAACCTTCCGAAGTGTGGGAGGTCAGCTGCAATTCTCTATGTTGCTTACAGTGGAAGAGCAATGATTGACAGATCCCACAGCAACCCAATCTGCAGGCACCCTGGGTAGCAGGCCCTATGCCCAGTGGGAGGGAGGGGGAGGACTTCAGATGTAAGTGAGCCTTAAGTAACTTGAAGAAAAGACAAAACAGAGAGAGAGTAGAATATTATTGTTACTGTCAGTGTTGTGTCTGTCGATAAATTAAGACTTCCCCATAGGCACAGATGAAAAGCGGTGCATTTTCCAGAAAGATATAAAACCCCAAGATCTGTTGATGGTATAATTATACCTGATTTCTTTTAATGGAGATATTATCAAGGGACCACATTCCAGTCTCTCTTTCTCTCCCCAACCCCCTCTTTAATAGCCAGCTTCTTAATGGTGGAAATTTACATAGCTTTATTAACAGCAAATGCTCAGGCCTCAAATTTCCCTCTAAATGCAATTGCTTCTAGCCTGCTTATTATGTACAGACAAATCCATTTGCTTTGCACTTTGTAATAGAGCTGATCAATTGTTAAGTTGGTAAGTGGCAGAGAAAGAAAGAGGTTGAGAAAATGTGAGGTGTTTGTGCAAGAGAGCGGGGAGGACAAGATGCACTGTATTCTTTGTATATCATTGGAGTGTGATTTACAGTTGGCTGCCTATGTTCCTTTGTGTCACTACCTGGAGGAATCTGGGTATGACCCAGGTTGGTTTTCACCAGCATATGAGCCAGAATATTATTGCTTGCTACCATAATCCTGGGATTTATTGCTGACTAGACCTGTGACTCACCTGCATGTTTTCTCCATGTCAGCATGCCAGGTACTGCTATATATATTTTTATTTTTTGGAGGGTTGTGCTTGTGAATTATCCCATTTTTTTTTTAGGTTATTAAACAGGAATCTTGGGTTCATTTGTGCTACTGAAGAATGCACAAAGGCATAAACCGTGCCCCCCCTTTTTATTTTTGCTTTTAAAAATGTATAGCAGAAATAAATGCTACATAGAAAATAAAACACTATAGCCCAGACAGAAAATAGAAACTGCTGTGCTCAAATATAAGTTATCGCTTGCTCAGGCTCCAAGGCTTAGCCTTAAATGGTACATAGTCCATTGTCCTTGTTTCATTCCTTTCTGCTGAATGTTTTTAAACTGCTTGTGTTCGCTTTATGAAACAGATTTCCTGCCATTGAGCCCCTTGAGCGCAGTATGCTGCAATTCCTTTGTTCTTTGCTGGTGACAGAGTAAAATTTGGATGATCATAGGCTGTATTCCTCTGCCACAGGAGGTATAAGATGAGCTGAAATGCTGGTCCCTTCCTGCCATTGCAGTCCAATGAGTCTGTGATGGTACCCTTAGGTTTTTGACTCTAGTCTCTATCCTCAGTTTTGTGGAAGCATTTATTGTTCAGATTTAATAGTATTAGCTCTAGGACCCGGATGGTTTGAAATGCCTGCCTAGGGTAAATTGCCTCGGAATGTTTTAAGTAGGAAACAATGTACAAATTTAATAAATGAAACTAAGGTATGAGAAGCTCAGGATAAATATGCATGCTGGTCGCTATGAGCCTGCTCAGATATATTGTTGTTTTAAACTATTTTTGAATGTTTTAAATAACTTTCTCAAATATTTTTATTTATAAATTTCTTGGTTTGTTCATTTTTTTGTAAACCAATTTGAAGGTTTCTTCTTACAAGTAGTGTATACATTTTGATGAACTTTTAAAAGGTGCTGCAAAGACAGACTGGCAGCTCAAAGATTCCCTCTCGCCTTTTCTCCTTTGCTTGGTAAAACATTTGTGAAAGAAATGGAAAAAAGAGGCAAAACAGGATTTAGCCCTAGCAATGTTGCCTTCCTTCAGAATGGTATGAGGATTTATGGGTACAGTTTGCTCAAGCCTGCAGTTTGATGCAGGGGGAGGCAGCATCTTCTCCCCTGTCCCCAGATGAGTGAGTCGCTTTCTCCTTCAGTTTTGCACAAGCATACTCTCATGTGGGGAAGGGGGGTGTCTTTAAGTTGAGAGCCAGTGTGGTGAAGTGGTTAAGAGCGGTAGTCTCCTAATCTGGGGAACCGGGTTTGCGTCTCCGCTCCTCCACTTGCAGCTGCTGGGTGACCTTGGGCTAGTCACACTTCTCTGAAGTCTCTCAGCCCCACTCACCCCACAGAGTGTTTGTTGTGGGGGAGGAAGGGAAAGGAGAATGTTAGCCGCTTTGAGACTCCTTAAAGGGAGTGAAAGGCGGGATATCAAATCCAAACTCTTCTTCTTCTTCTTCTTCTTCTTCTTCTTCTTCTTCTTCTTCTTCTTCTTCTTCTTCAGAGCATCTCAATCAGGTTTTTGAAGGCTTGGAAAAACATCGCTCTCTGACAAGCTGAGGAGCTGTCCAAAAACTGTTGGTGCTGAACAGCTGTTCTGTTGCACTAAAATCACGTTAGACATGATTTTAAACATTTCTTTGAATCCTGTGCTTGAGATTCTCCTCTTTAAAAACCAATCAAACAAAGGTTAAGAGCAGTTGTGGAGGGCTCATTCTTGGTCGGAGCTTTGACCCAGGGCAGAAGGAAGATTAACCCTTTCCACTTGCCATTTCCCTTGCTGAAAATACTCCCTCCTCCCCACTAGCAGTGCTTTCTGCAAGGGGGGGGGGTCTTAATCCCTGAATATTAGTGGCTGAATCAGCCACCATGGCTGCTTTTACTAAAAGAATCAGAGAAGGACAAAATCAAGCACAGGATTCAAAGGCACATTTAGTATCAATTATAGCTTGCCCCAAGGACTCATATTAGAAGTGGCAGGGCTGTCATTAACGCGTCTGCCCTGTTCAAGTGTAAAATGGTGTGTCAAGGAGCATGTGGGAGAAGGCCATTGAACCAGCCCCCACTTCACCACACCTCGGTCCTTCCCTCCCTTCCCATCTCAGATATCAGGCATGAGCTGGAAAGGGAGTAAATTGCCTGGAGTAAAGTTTTGAGGGGAGGAGATGGGAGGAAAGGAAAAGGAAATGATCAGCACCTGTCTTTTATGTGTTCATTTTCTGTTAAGGAAGGATCCTGTCCACTTGGCCACCTTATAGGTGAATGAGGGAGACATCGGAAAAGAGCAAGTTATCTGCCATGGTCACATCTAGTTTAACCCTAGATGTGAACAATTGGTAGTGTTGTTTCCCATAAAAGGGCCCTGCAGTAGCTTGCAAGAGTCTTTCATCTATATATAGCAGGTTCCTCCTGTTTCTCCCCCTGGTAGGGACAGCTGTCTATTGTTCGGAACCCATGGTAACAGGATCTGTGGTATATTTCCAAAATGTAAAGACGCCTGCTTAAATCCATGCATTGCCAGTTAGAACACTTATAAAACCTGTTACCTTTAATTAAAGAGACAACTCTTTTTCTCAGAAACACATAGCTGATTAGATTTATTGACTGCTTTTGCATGAGGGACGCAGATAAATAGCTTTATGCCATTGTAAATTCTGAAAGGGAAGGTCTTTTGCCCTTTTGGGTTTGATTCTCTCAGAAAAGAAGGTGCATAAACAAGGAGGAATCAACGAGCTGTTAATTTTTCCTTTTTCATGAAATATGTTTGTTCCAAATGAAGACTTCTTAACTGGGTGCTTTGAAATGTGTTGGGGGGAGGGAGCGACTACCTGTAAAGATCCTCATTATATAATTGCCTTGTATTTAAAATAGGCAGTTGTGTGAGCTTGTATGCAGATAGCATCCTGTTCTGTCATTAGTCATCACTTGACACCTGTGCACAGCCTAAATGGGTCCACACCAGGGGGAGTAGAAGCACGGTAGCCAAGCAGACATTGGAGTGAATCAAGCATGCACTGAAGGCAGTTGAGGTGGAAGCTCTTTGATTAAAATTCCACTGTCGCACTGAAGAACTGCTTTCGCTTCCCACCCCCACCCCTTCTCTGGTGGATTTCATTCTACACTTGGGATGCAGTAACATTATCCATCTTTGCCGGAAATGACTTATCTCCAAGGTTCACAGACAGCAATTTCGGAACATGCTAGATTGCACAAAGTGTCAAGCTTTTTTAAAACATGCTTCCCAGGGATGATAGATCCCCTTAAATCTGCAGACTTCATTGCGATTGACATACGAACCACCATGACCTGCTCAATCAGTATAATTCTTCTCCCATTACTCAGGTGAGCAATCCCAATGGATGGTTTGCCCACTTCTGCACTTCACAGGAACAAATGATAAATATAACTCTAGTTCTGACCAGACTTTTTGTAACTGCCCTCTTTGCTGGGTGGAGGAGCAACCGCATCCTCATCTCGCCCACCACACAGATGTATGAAGATGTTCTACACCAATGGCCAGTTCATGCAATTCTTCTCTGTAGGGACTAGCTCCCCCCCCCCAAAAAAAAAGTAGGGAGGAGATTTCATGGACTTGCACTTCCACTCTCTCTTGTCAGTGTTTAGGGTTGCACTGCCCATCCCTTAGGAAACCCAGAAAGCCATGAGGAATATAGTAAACAGTGATGGATATGATTAGATGGATGGCCTCTAAGAATAATTCAGTATGATTAAGGAAAAAACAATGGAGGAAAAAACAGAAAGCTAGAGGATATGAAATTGGGAGATGTGCCCCAACTATCATGGGAAAACTAAGACTTGCCCCAATTAAAAACAAGCAAACAGGCACTCTATGATGTCCTTTCTTGCCGAACCGTCCACTGTTGCCATTGATTTACAGTTAAGAAGGGCTAGCAGCAGGAATGCAATTAATGCTGACGTTAGTATATTGGTCCTGTCCTCTGTAAGGAAGCAGAGGTTTGCCGAGATCAATTTTGTGCTGGATGTCTCAACTTGGGGAGCAATAACTTGGAAGTAAAACCCAGGTTAATTTGAAAATAGGTCAATGGGATGTGAAGATAGCCCACTGTAATCTGAATCCATCGTATCAGCTTCAAAATGTCTCCCTTGGTTGATTAAATTACCTGTAAGGGAGAAATAGCAGGAGAAAAGCCTGCTGCAGATTTATTCTGGGATACGTGCAGCTGTTCAAGACAGATGTCCAAAAACAACCCAGCAAAGCTTTCCTGTATAGGTGAACATGATGCCTTTAACTGGCTTAATTAAAGAGGAAACAATGTCAGCCATCACTCATGTTATTTCTTATTTAATAAACGCAAGCTGGTCTCATTTTGCAGACTCTTGTCTGCTCGTCTGCTTTGTTATACTGCTTTCCAGAGCAATCTTAATTAATGATATCCTCATAAGAGGTTTGTAGTGTCGGCGGCAAAAGGGGATTCATGGGAATTCAATCAAAAGCAGATTTCACTAGTCAATTCTTCTTCTTCTTCTTTTAAGATTAAGTTTTCAGAAGCGACTGGCCTTGGATGCAAAGATCATTCCCCGCCCCCAAACAAATCTGTTAAGCTTTCAGCGAAGAAAGCATTTGTGTTCAATTTTATTTGCATAATTTCAAGCGCCATTAATAGTACATGGCATGAGGAAAAATTACCAAGATTTCACTCCAACCATGAGTGAAATTGGGTTTAGTAGAAAATTAGTTGACTTAACTGGCAGATGATGAAAGCTTGAATAGAGAATGTTTAAATAAGGAGGAATTGTAGAAAAGGAACTTGAAGGTGCAGGCTGAATTGAGATCAGGGCTCAAGTTAAAACATATTAGCTAAAGTGAAAGATAAATGGAGACTGATAGTGAATTCAGAAGGAAGAATCCAACAACCCTCTCTACTGATCATTCTGTCAGTGCAAGCATTCCTGCTTACCAGGTGGAACCATCCCCCTCTCCTCCCCATTTGCATTGTTCTAGGGGTTCTTCTGCCCTTCCAGAGTGGATTGGGGTGAGCATGGGTAAAGGTGGAAGTCCCATTGCACTAGCTAGCTTGCTTGGCAATTTAGTGCAATTTTTCCTTCTCAGGAAGAGCCACAGGGCTAGATTTCCCAGTTCAATATAACTCCATCAAATACATAGAACTGGTATACATTTTTGCACCGGCTGATGAGCTTGGGCTTTGGTTTTATGAAAAATTATACCTAATGATGGCAGACTATAATTGGTGTTCACCATTAGGTTACAGAAGATCTATCGCAAGCCTGTACCTTTATTTTTCTTGAGTAATTTGTGTGATATAAATGGAAGCGCATAATATTTGTGTGAATTCTGCCACACAAACTATGACACTGGGCCAATTAAAATCTGGAAAGCAGATTAATTTTCAAATGAACACCCATTTTACAATCAGGCTATCATAAACCCATTCATCTAGTACAAGAGCAGCCAGTGTGGTGCTTTTCAGTTGTTATTAGACTACAACTCCCATCATTCCTGCTCATTGGTCATGCTGGCTGTGGCTGATGGGAGTTTGTAGTCCAAAAAATCAGTAGGGCATCCCATTAACTCCCCTATTATAGTACTTTCAATTTGCAAAGTACAAGTTTCAGCTGATTCATTCTCACAGTAAGCTTGTAAACTAGGTCACAATGAGAAACACATTTTATTAAGGAGAAAAGAAGCTGCTCATAATTTTTCTTGCTCCTTTGTGTGTCTTTTCTGTAATTGAAGTCAACAGTTCATTATGGTGCACAACATTCATAAGGGCCTATTATTCTATGTTTTCTCTTGTGTACATTCCCACTCATTCCTGTGTATGCGTTTGACTGTGTGTGCAGCAGAAAGCAAGGGAGGGAGATCAGTTTGAAGGCAGGATACACCTGTTGCCATCAAGATGGTAGCCATATCTGTCATGTTTGGAAAGAAATAAACTAATGATATGAGGGATGGTGACTTGCCAAATGCTACCTAACAAGGGAGCAAGTGAAGCTGTGGTCTAAACCACTGAGCCTCTTGGGCTTCCCGATCAGAAGGTTGGCAGTTTGAATACTCATGACAGGTTAAGCTCCCGTTGTTCTGTCCCAACCTAGCAGTTCAAAAGCACACCAGCACAAGCAGATAAATAGGTACCACTATAGCAGGAAGGTAAATGGCATTCCTGTGTGCTCTGGCTTCCGTTACAGTGTTCTATTGCACCAGAAGTAGTTTAGTTATGCTGGCCACATGACCCAAAAAGCTGTCTGTGCACAAACACCAGCTCCCTCTGCCTGAAAGTGAGATGAGCGCTGCACCCCATAGTCGCCTTTGACTGGACTGAACCATCCAGGGGTCCTTTACCTAACAAGCTCATGACTCAAATTCAGGAAGAATTATCACATACTCATATCCACAGTACCATACCAAGTTTCAGGTGCTGGAATAAATAAGAAATTGGGGCAAATTTACCACAAAGCTGACAATAAAATTCACTCTCATTTTCCTCATCCCATAACACATGCTAGCATCCATTCCACTGACTGCACAACACAGCTTCCTTGTGTTGAGGCAGGTATAAGTGTGGCGATCACACAGGGTCCCCGGACGTTTGATGGTCTATTGATCCCTGTGCTACCACTGTGATCACTTCCCCGCTGCCACCAACCCATTTCTCTGGGTACACACTGAGTCCAGACAGTTGTTAACATTAAACCAAATAAACAAGTTTATTTTATAAGCAGTAACAAGTTTATGGTTTCAGATAATTTTTCTTGTTAGTTTCTTAACCTTAGTTTCTTTACCGGCCTATACCTTCCTGATACCTTCTAACTGATTATCCCAACTGTTGAACTTACTCCTCTTAAGAGATTCTCTCACATCAAACTAGCCCAACCCACAGACTTAACCTCCCTCTCCCTTCTGTAACTCCAGGCTGACTTCTTAACAACTCTAGGTCTAACTCTAACTCCACCCCTTGGGTTCCTATTGGTTAATCGTTTTACAATTTGTTAACCCTTTCCTTATGAACCCAGTATGATGTCACACACTTAGGAGGGCAAACGCCACAATAAGATTGTAGCTTTTCTTCAACGTTGAGAAGATGAAATGCAACTCAGCCAACCTTCTGTGATTCCCACTTTTAGCTGTCCACTGTGTCTTGCAAAACCCTCAGTGGCTGAGATTTCGTTGCCTAGTAGGTCATGGAGCTGCCGGCCAATTACCCTTGTGCTCCTGGAAACACAGAGATAAATGTTATTGCACTTCTCCTTGACAGTGCTAACCTTCCCACCCTCCGCTGTGTAATCTTGAATTGTATCTACTGTGGCCCAATAGGGCTTTTTTCCCTCAGAGAAAAAAGACTGAATGGAAAAACTTTGTAACAAAAGTGTACTATTTGCAGGCAGTAGAACTCGGTGCCTGTAAAATGTATAAATGACATTCATGTCTGTGAGGAGACCCTGCTGTCAGTTTTATGCAACCAGCCTTAGAGATTCACACACCCAACTCAGCTTGCTGCTTCCCTGTGCTAACTCCATCCAAAGTCAAATGACCTCAGGTTTGTTGACTGAGTCAATAGACAATCCTTGGGGAATGCCCATAGCTCAGTAGTAGAGTGTCTGCTTTTCACTCAGATTCACCCTGATTCAGTTCCCAGCATCTCCAGGTTGGGCAGGGAAAGACTGTCTAAAACCAAGGAGAACTGCTGCTGTTCAGTGCAGACAGTACTGAGCAAGATGGAGCAATGGTCTGACAGGGTATAATACATATTCCTACATGCCTAAGTAAGTTCCCTGTGTGTCCATAAGGGCAGAAGTAGTTAACTTTTACATACAACGACTGGAGAGGTTACCTGTAGAAGATCTTGGAGGGAAGTCTTTTGTACTTTGGGGGAAGCACTGTAGCTCAATGGCAGAGCATCTGTTTTGCATGCAGAAGGTCCTTGGCTCCATCTCTGCATCTCCATGTATCACTGAGAGAGACCCCTATCAGGAACCCTGAAGCGCCAACCAGGGTTGACAATACTGAACTAGGTGGAGCAACAATGATTCCATATAAGACAGCTTCCTTTGTTTCTGACCCTCTGCTTCTGCCCCACAACTGATTTGTCCATCCTGCTATAGCCCTGTTGTTCTATTCAGTATGCAGCCCATCCTACTGATTTCCCAAGCTGACTGACTGGGGGTCAGCCCCCCTGGGACTGTCTTACAGTGAACCAAGTGAACTAGGCTTTTCAGGTGGGCAAATGAAGCATTTTAAATTTCAAGGAAAGAAGAGGCCCATCTTGACTCCTTGCTTCTGATGTGGAGATGTGTAACCACTCGCCGCCCCACCCCCGGGCATAGCTCACTTTCTTCCTGGCTGATCTGGTAGCAGCTGTTGTGGGTAATTCAATGAAGTTATGAGAAAGCATTCAGCTGATGAGTCTTTATTTTAAAATTCCCTGAAGGCCTATTGTACCAGTTCAAAGGGAACACTATGATCCTTCAAAATTCAAATAAACAAATGAAAACATCACCACGAGAACAACCTTCACCAGTGTGCCTTTCTCCTGTATTCCTGCTGACCTAGTCAATAGTCACATGTATTCCTTGTCATCTGCATATTCCTCTTTTTTTGAACATTGAGTTTTCCCATCTATGATAGATAAAATGGCTGCTACATTGTACTGCCACACTGAACTACCACTTCGGATAGTGCACACCCTTTAAAAATCCAATATCAAGAGGGTATCATCGTTTTCTTTCTTTATAAAGGGACAGCTTCCTCTTACCAAAGGCCGAATGGTCATGTTGGGAGCCACAGAGGCAAGTGAAATTGTCCTCTTTTCCATTGGATAGTTCTTCTTTGGGGCAGCTTCATTATGGGGCTGCCTAGGGCTGAAGGATGGGATAAGGCAAGTGGAAATAGTCAGCCTCCATATGCAAATGCAGAACTCTCCCCTCAAATGTGTTAAAAGCTGCTCTAAGCTGATGTCCATATTCTAAGAATCCACAAAATCTCCCTTTCCTCTTTGATTTTGCACTTTAATTCTTTACTGCTGAGATGCTCACAAAGTGCCAGAAAATCTCTAGCAAGCTGACCTGCTACTCCATAATGGGCTGCTGAGCCCTTCTGCATTGCTTCACTTTATTTATGTGGTGTGGTTTTTTTTAAGGTGGCTGTCAGGCACAAGAGACTTTCTATTCATGTCATCTTCCCGGCCAGCCACTTAGCGTAAAATTGCCCATAAAAGTGAACTTAAATTACAAGTGATAAAACCACAGCCCATCCTAGCCACTGCCAGCTTTTTTTCTGTTCTACATGGCTCTGAAGCTTATATTCTTTTTGACAAGAGCAATGAAGCAGCTTCACATACTTATCCCCAGCTAAATCACCTTAAATTGAAAATCCTTGTTTTTCCTTGCTTGGAATGTAGCATGGTCCTTCACTAGTTTCTTCTAAGTGTTTCTTAGTATCAGCAGAATGGTTTGCGCTGGTGGAACGCTTGACTGCATGTCCCTCAGCTAATGCCAGATGTGAGGCCTTCCGACGTATCCGCTTGTTTTTGTTTGTTACATAAGCTACCCCATAACAAAGAGCAGCTCACAAAGCCAACACACACACACAGCTCACAAAGCCAACACACACACACACCAAAATACAATACAGAACAGGAAAAACTGTAACAAAATAATTTTTAAAAATGAAGCATAATTACAGCTCGGTGAGAGGTAAACTACATTTCCCAGGGTTATTTGGGGGGGAGCCATGGACTCTAAATGTATGGTGTGCATGCAGCTGAAGAAAAGGGGCAGAGCAAAGAGGTGAGCCTTGCCAAGGTTGGAGGTGCTAATACAGTGGTACCTCGGGTTAAGAACTTAATTCGTTGTGGAGGTCCATACTTAACCTGAAACTGCTCTTAACCTGAAGCACCACTTTAGCTAATGGGGCCTCCCACTGCCGTCGTGCCACCAGAGCACAATTTCTGTTCTCATCCTGAAGCAAAGTTCTTAACCCAAGGTACTATTTCTGAGTTAGCGGAGTCTGTAACCTGAAGCGTCTGTAACCTGAAGCGTCTGTAACCCAAGGTACCACTGTAAGGTGTTTCAGGATGAGCAAGAAGGAGCAGGTAGTGATGCAAGGCAAGAGAGTAAGGTGGGGGAAATGGTATGAAACAAGGAGAAGGAAATGCCAATGGCAGGAAGCAGTGAAAAGTGGGGACTGATGGGTCCTTCAATTTCCAAGCCTTGTGAGGCACCTTTGCGACTCCCCCCTCCAATCCGTTCCTGCAGCCACAGTGATTCCTCAAGTCTACCAGCTTTTGAAACTGCAGCCCACAAGCTTTGTGCTGTGGCCATCTGTGGCCAACCTGGAGCTGCAACTACAACCACTAAGAACTACCTTCAGAAGCTGAGGTGACTTGCATGACTCACTGAAATTGTAACTGAGTGCTCATCCACACAGCAGCACCTTCCCTTTTTCCCCGCTGGCTGCTATAAGCATTTATCTGAGAGTATGGGAAGCGTCCCCAGGGAAAGGTAGGCATCTTTAGGTAGAGCACTCTCTCAACATTCATCATGAGAGGCCTGTGCTAGAGAAGGCTGGGCCCATGATGCTAGGCCCATATAAATTTATAGTCATCTTAGAGTTTCACTAGCCCCTCTGTAGGTCCTCTGCACCAGAGATGGTGAACCTGTGACCCTCCAGAGATGTTTTTGGACTCAGTGAATGTAAATTCTATCTGGGGAGAGATGGTATGGCTGGGGAAGAGGGATATGGCTTGGGGAGATTCTCAAGGGCCAGAAAGAAAGGGTGGAGGGCCACATTTGTCCTCCTCCCCACCTCTGCTATATTGACGCCCTTCCCTCCCTTTTCACCTCTCTTTCTTGCTCTTTCCAGTAACTTAGGAGTGCCTCCTGGCCGGGGTAATTGTCCCTTGACAGTCCCTTTGCCCTTTGACCTCATTTACACAGACTACCATGGGCTACAGCAGATGAAGCAGCACATGGGCCTCTCCTTTAAGAAATACAGGTAAGAAGAACTTGGTGGGCTTTTATGTCCACCTCTTGTATCTTTTTTATAAGCAAGTAGCTAGGGTTGCCATATTTCAAAAAGTAAAAACAAGGACCTCCCAAAAGTAGTTGAGCTTTCTTTCTTTTTTTACAAAACTGTCAAAAATTATGTGTTTTTTTTATTTTTGGAAATTCCCACAGATGTCACTTCCGCCTTTGAAATCCGGATGTATGTCAGCCCTAAAGTAATAATTTTTCTCAATACCTCTCTTGGCTAAAATCAAGTCTAAACTATTTACAAACTAAATGTTTGATGGTTATTTACATTGTATATGCATGGTTTATATTTCTTGGTGGTGGGGTATAAGGAGATTGATTGTTATATGTATTTTAAAAACTGAAAAATAAAGTTAAGAAGGACCTCTCCATTGGTGCCCTTTTTGATATTGTTTCCATTCTTCTCTATTCTTTTGAAACCACAGCTGTATTTAGGACTTTTGCTTTACATGATGATGATTTTATTTAAATGGGTTTCTTCTTAAGAGCTGGTTTTTTGTCTGCCATTTCAAAAGATCAAAATGCATTGCACTATTATTTTCCAAGAATTTAACCGCACACGATTATTCCAGAGACTGAATAGAATTGAACCTGGAATTCTCTTGAACTTTTAGCCTTTCCTTATCCTTCAAGCTTCCAAAAGTAAATTTCCACAACACAAGTTTCCCTTGGCCCAGTTTATCTCCATGTCTCTGAGAGCTGGTAAATTGCCCAGTGAATGGCTTCCATGCTGCTTCACAGCTGCCGTTGTTACATGCTGGGATGTGTTTGCAAAGGTGAAAGAGCAATCCTTCATACCACTCTCTTAAATGAAATAATAATAGTATCACTTTCCATGGAGAACACAGAGACCCTGGGGGGGTTATGGACCTGTGAGTGAGAGCAAGGATAAATAATATATCAGCACTCTGGAGGTGTGTTCTGCAAGCATCTCTAGGAGAGAGAAAGAGGCAGGCAGGTGAATGGATCAACTTGGGACACCTCTGCCCATTTTGTCCCTCCTCTTGAGGTTTTAAAAAGTTCAGCTCAAAGACTCTTGCCAGATCAGCAGCTAGCAAAATTTTGTGATTTAATTTAGCACTGGTAGCCCAAGTATTCATTACTCTTTCTCCAATCCCTCCTGTTATCCTGCACAATTTTATGAGGGAGAAAAATGACAGGCGGTGTTATTGCCTCTATTGTAAATCAATTTTCTCTCTGCATTCAGCTTGGTTGGAAGAGAGGAGTTGTTATTCCTGTGCTTGCTTTCTACTTGCTGTGTTTTTTGACTTCTCTTCCCCTTTCTCTTTTTATCAGTGCCATAAGCCAGTTTCAGGGTGGCTAGGGTGTGGGGGTCAGGGGAGTCATGTCAACAGAAAGAGAGGGATGAGCTCTTGCAAAACCAGATGTGAAATCAATTTTGAATACAAGTCTCATATATTCAAACTTGAATACATCAAGCCTCTTCAGATTTAACAGAATGAGGATTTTGGTAATTGACTCCTGTGATACCCAAACATTTGTCACCAAGACGATTTGTTCGTGTTGCGTCTTTGTTTCATTTTAGGGAGCTGTTGCCTCAAGACCTCATTGCCCACCTCCACCCCTGTCTTACCTTCTGCTTCACTCTTCTCCCTGTCTCACTGCTGACCATATCCACCCCTTTCATTTCTTCTTCTTCTTTCAACCTAGATCTATCTTTCTTCTTCAGAGAAATATGATGCTATCCATCATTAAGTGATATTATTGGCTATGCAACTCATGCTGGTAAATTATGTGTTGCAGGCTCCTTATATATTTGAGAAAGTGGGTTTTGGTGATAATAAAAATATGTATTGTAACTAGGCATGAGCAAACTCATTAAAAGACGCCTGCTTCTTGGGAGAAAAGCAATGACAAACCTAGACAGCATCTTAAAAAGCAGAGACATCACCTTGCCAACAAAGGTCCATATAGTTAAAGCTATGGTTTTCCCAGTAGTGATGTATGGAAGTGAGAACTGGACCATAAAGAAGGCTGATCGCCGAAGAATTGATGCTTTTGAATTATGGGCCTGGAGGAGACTCTTGAGAGTCCCACGGACTGCAAGAAGATCAAACCTATCCATTCTTAAGGAAATGAGCCCTGGGTGCTCACTGGAAGGACAGATCGTGAAGCTGAGGCTCCAATACTTTGGCCACCTCATGAGAAGAGAAGACTCCCTGGAAAAGACCCTGATGTTGGGAAAGATGGAGGGCACAAGGAGAAGGGGACGACAGAGGACAAGATGGCTAGACAGTGTTCTCGAAGCTACCAGCATGAGTTTGACCAAACTGTGGGAGGCAGTGGAAGACAGGAGTGCCTGGCGTGCTCTGGTCCATGGGGTCACGAAGAATCGGACATGACTAAACGACTAAATAACAAATGAGCAAACTCACATCACCTCATTTTAAAGTCCCTTTTTGAGACCTTTTTCCTGCCAGCACTCAGCTTCAGTATTCACAGAAGATGCTCATCGGAGGGAGAGGAGTGGGTTATGTGTAAGTCTTCCTCCCCTCCCAGTTTACCAACCTACCATTCCTGTCTTCTTCCTTTGGGAAAGGAGAGGTCACCAGTAGTTGTGACAGCTAGACAGAGACACAAGAGGTTTTGCTGAGCCTCTCCGGGGAGCATCAGTTTTGTAGTTTCCTTAACATTTCCAGTTAAAGAAGAAGCCAGAAAATGAGGACCTCCACCAAAACTGGGCATGGCACAATGGCTCTAGGATAATGTATCACTAGCTCATATTTTTGTGTTGCTCCTATGCAGGACATAACCGGCATGGCTTTTGTTCGTTTCCCTTGCACAGATGCCGTGTTCGAGTGATTGACACTTTTGGGACTGAGCCTGCATACAACCATGAGGAATATGCCACACTGCATGGGTACCGGACAAACTGGGGCTATTGGAATCTGAACCCAAAGCAGTTCATGACAATGTTTCGTAAGTGGTATCAACATTTGACAGTGATTTGCCATGGAGAGGTGTGTGATGACAGTGGGTGCTCAGATAGAATAGCAGACCCTTCCTGAGTAAGGCTAGAAGTCCATGGCATCCAACTTTCCCTTGCCCAATGCCCTCCAGCTGTTCTGGACTACAACGCTGTATTTTACTTTCTATTTTTTCAAATAGCTGCTTTGAGCATCACTTGGTGGGAAAGTGAGATATAAATTTAACAAACAAATAACCTGTTTTCTGCTCTCTCCAATGACTTGTATTCAGAGATGACTTGCAAATATGGAAGGGGTGTTTGTTTACTTGCTAGTTTGCTATCATGGCCAATATCTGCTAATAGGGATATCTTTCCCACCCCCCTTTAAAGCTATTTAAGTCAGTGAATTCCAAAAGCTAATTGTGCATTGTGTGAAAAGGTTCTTCTTTTTGCATGTCCTGAATCTCCTGGCTTCATTGAATGGCTTCATTGAGTGGCTTCATTGAATGGCTCTGAGTACTAATGTTATGAGAGAGGAAGAAACATTATCAATATCTACTTCCTCCCAAAACATGCAGAATTTTATTAACTTTTACAATGCCCCCCTTAGTTATCCCCCTGCTTTAAAAAGTTCCACATTTTTCAGCTTTCCTCATGGAGAAGGTCTTCCGAGTTCTATATTTTGAACAATTTGTCTACTGTCCAGGGTACTGAAAGTCCTGTCTCTAATACCACTTGTTCATGGAGTCATGATCCAGGTTCCCCACCCGTTTCTTCCCTGCCTGTCCTTCCACTCTGCCCCAGACTACTTCCAAATCTACATCCTCCCAGCTTGTCCATGGGTTCTGCCTCACCAGGAATGAGCACACATGAAAAAGAAAAGGCATCGTTTGAGGTTCCTTAATCTGTCCATACTTAATTAAGCACAGATAAACCCCAAGTACATGTTACATTCTTTGCTCTGAAAGTAGCAAATCATTTTCTGAGCTGTCACTTATTCACATGACCACTTTACCAATTCACATGATTGTTTTTCAAGTGTCCTAACACACACACACACCCCATACACCCTCGGCTTGGATTGCAGGTTGAACCAATGGCCTGAATCGTTTGTCTAGAGTAGAATTTATTGACACACCATTCTCAAAGCCGGTAGAAATAAAACACAGGGAATATATTTGGAAGCTTTCCAAGATGAAGAAGCCCCCAAAGTATCATGAAGACAGGAACTGAAAGTTCCTGTGCCCTGTGTTATGTCCGTGCCATGAAAAGGGTAATAGAGATACTGTCACATTTGCACCTCCAAGTTGATTTCCCGAGGGTTCTGGATAGGCAGATTTGCTGCTTCCACCTGACCTTAACCTTGACAATGATGCCCCAAGGAAAAGCTAGCTTAATGGGGCCTGCCTTTTTAATTAGCTTTCATACTTTACTGTCCCACTCCCACTGTTTTTGCTAATTATGTTTCCAGGCTGTCCCAGCATCTCCCCTTCTCCCCAGCATGGCCAGGGTGAAAGACTTGTAACAGACACAGAGCTATTTTGATGCAAGTAACTCTCTCCAGCTCTCTGGGAGCTGCCAAGATAACCAATCATTCCTCGCCCAGCTAGAAGCACAGTGACAGCAGGAAGAGTAGGATGTGGTTTCATGGGTAAAAATATCTTCAGGACTGTATTGGGAATGAAATAAATGGGCCTTTGCAAACCAGCAGTTAGGAGAAAGCTTTATTTTTGTGTTCCCTCCTTTGAGACATGGCATTGCACAAATTAAGTCTCAGAATTCTCTGGGAGTTAATGGGAGATCAGTTCAGAACAACTGTGGTGCACAATTCTTGTTGGAAGGTTAAGGAGGGAAGGGAAAGGGGAAGAGGACGCCAACCTTCTTTAGAGGCAACAAAGGTCCTGAAAGCACCCTCCTAACTAGGTGGACTGACAATTGCAGTATAACAGCTAGGAAAATATAACATCATTGCTGCCATTCCATCATGTACTCAAATTTGTGGTGGGCACCATAGCTGTCAACCTTCCCTTTTTTTTTGCGGGAAATTCCCTTATTCCAGCACCGTTTCCCACTACTTCCTGCCGCTATCCCGGATTGTTAGTTATCCCGTAGACTGTCCCCGGGACAGGTGAGGCTGCTGATCCCTTATTTTCAAATCTGAAAGTTGACAGCTATGGGTGGGCACCATCATTGCACCAAACAGAAAAGAGTTTCTTTGCAGAGACATGAAATAACCCAAAGCTTTGCAAGCCAACTCTATCAGTTGATCGCTTCTGGGTCTGCTCTTCAGTGCAGTCCAGTCTTGACTGTGGTTTTCAACTGGGAACATGCAGCTCTCCCTTTTTTGCTTTATACAAAACAAAGGAGTTTGGTTAAGTTTTATTGTATTTTATTTTATTTATTCCACAAACACCCACTTCCTGCAGAATACGGCTTCCCCACCACACCAAACTTTATCCTCCCAGTAACTCTGTGGAGTAGGTCCCTGATTGTGCAGACAAGTCCATCAGTGAACAGTTCATATGAACATAGCATCTAGTCACATGATCTACCAAACACATCTACTGCCTTGTGCCACCACCCCATCCTCCAGCATTCTCCCCCAGCTGCTGGATTCCTGTTGTTACTTCCCAAAAATATATCCTGTGACATTTCAGTGATCATGGAAATCTACTGAAGTGCATGGCCAAAATGTCACCTGAGAAAACAAGAGATAAAAAGCACATGAACACCTTAAGAGCTATCCATAATAATCAGCAACCTGTAATTTTGGAAAGTTGTTTATCATTCTAAAAATGAAAGCCCAATAGAAGGAGCAAACATGGAGGGACCCCCAGCATTGAGAAATTACAGTTTGTTTGAAAATTACTTGGATGTTTGAAGCGGAATCTTACAAGTGGTGGCTGTATTAGACTTGACTTTGCAAGTAGCAAACCAATAACATTTCTTGAATGCATCCTCTAAGGCAATTCAGCTCTAAAGTAATTCAATTTCTTCAACATTTGGGTTTTTTAAAATAATAATAATAATAATAATAATAATAAAGCTGTTATAGCTCCAGAGAACTAAGATAAGATTATACTCAGATTTTATGTTTTTAAAAAAGATTGTGCCAAAGTGAAAATTCTCAATGTTTCAATTTTTATTTTTTTTAAAAAAGCATTTTCCAGGGTTGATGCATTTCATTTTTGTTAATTGCCATCTCTGCCTCATGTAGCCCACTCTACTAGATGTCGGTGTTGTTTAATGAGAAGAAAAATATAAAGTATTTCTGGGTTATTCCATTATTAAATCAAAGATGTTATGTAATGGAGGGTGTAAAATATCTCAGTGGACTCATTTCTAAAATTAATGTAACTGACTTGTAAACTAACGAAGCAGATCTCCTGTGAATTACCAGAAAACGTGTGCTGCAATCGTGGCAGCATATGTGGGAGGACATGTGGTGGACTTTTTATATTATAAAACCATGTGGTGGTAGAAAGTCGAGTATGAGTGCAAAATTCAATGCAGCCCTAGCAGAGAGCCTGTGAGGCTTCTTTCCACAGCCTGTGAGGCATCCCATTGGGAATGGAGTGTTTGTGTTACTGAGAACAGAGAGGAAATCTCTGGAGAAACCTAATGCAAGTCAAATGCATGGATGTTTATTTCTTTGCAGCTCATACGCCTGACAATTCCTTCATGGGTTTTGTGTCTGAGGAGCTCAATGAAACAGAGAAGCAATTCATTAAATCCAACAAGGCTAACAACATGGCAGTGGTATATGGGAAAGAAGCCAGCATTTGGAAGGTGGGTAGCGAATAAAATAGTGGAACTTTTTAACAGTGTCAAAGGCATTTAATCACCCAACCATGGTCCAAAGTGTGCTAAATACTCTGTGGCTGCAATCTTATGCAAACTTATTTAGGAATACATCCAACTGAACTCTGTGGGACTTCTTTCGAGTAATTAGGTATGGAGTGCATCTCTTATAACATTTAACAAATGGATGAGGAACCTGTGCCTCTCCCAATGGTTTTTTTTTACTCTATCTCCCATCAGCTCTAGCCAGTGTGGCCAATGGTCAGAAATGACTCTATTGTAATGACTGTAGTTTGTTTTAATAGATTTTAGCAGCAGCAGCAGCAGCAACAACAACAACAACAACAACGTGATGGTGGTGCTGGTGCGAGTTGTAGTCCAATAACAGTGGATGCCACAGGTTCCTCATCCCAGACACAGCAGAGGACCATATGAAGAGTTATAGGTTTCATCCAAATAATTCTTTAACTTTCAGGACCAGTTTAGGGCTTTGATAGGTATATCCCGATCTTTGCCTGGTTGCAAATGCAAAGGATGAGGGGCTTCTCTTTCACATAGAACTACACACACATCAACACACACACATCCTTTGTTTAAATGCCACAGTGAGAGGACTAAGTGAATGTTGTCACTCTATGTACTCTATCTATGGGCCACTCTATATAAACATAAGCATTTGAAAGCTTTTATGAGCTACTTAGCCTGTCCTCTTCATTCATCTCTGCTGCGTTATTCCTTGCAGCAGCAAATAGTAATGATGGGCCCAAGAAAGCGTGGGGAAGGAACCATTGTGTTCATGTCATGCTATTTAAAAAGTGCTTTTAAGAACTTTAAAATGCTTATCATATATGGTTCTTCAACTCCCCTGTTGCCGAAACTTCTCCAGTTATCATGATGCCACCCTGAAGTTCTGGGGATTGGATGAATTCGTGGAGGAGGAGGGGACAAGCATGAGCTACTGTCTGTGACAGTTAAATGAATACCAGTGGCAGGATAGTTTGGGGTAGCTGAAAACAACCGTACAGGAGGCTGAATTGCCTTTATGGCCTGCTTACACTGAGAGCCAGTGTGGTGTAGTGGTTAAGAGCAGTAGTCTCGTAATCTGGGGAACCGGGTTCGCGTCTCCGCTCCTCCACATGCAGCTGCTGGGTGACCTTGGGCTAGTCACACTTCTCTGAAGTCTCTCAGCCCCACTCACCTCACAGAGTGTTTGTTGTGGGGGAGGAAGGGAAAGGAGAATGTTAGCCGCTTTGAGACTCCTTAGGGTAGCGATAAAGTGGGATATCAAATCCAAACAACTCTTCTTCTTCTTCTTCTTCTTCTTCTTCTTCTTCTTCTTCTTCTTCTTCTTCTTTGGAAGCACTGGATTGGGCTCTGTTCAGAAATGATGCTTGGCTAAATGAGACCTTGGTACAACCCAACAGAGCTTTCCTGAAGCTCTGTTGGTTCCTGGTTGCTTCAGAGCATTTCTGAGATCTTTTTAGTTTGTTGCCATTGATACAAAGGAACTAACTCTCATTCCTTCTTCCTTCTCTCTGTGTGCCCACCATGGGATTTCCAGCTGCAGGTAAACAGAAAATCATTTTTAACTATGTGCTTTTTATGCGTATTATTTGGATTTGAATACCTGTTTGTGCTGACAAAATGGCATTTTATTTGAAGGCTACATTGCAATGTGTACGTGTACAAAAATACATACACTAGTGTAAAGTATGCATATCAATGCATATAATCATGAAAATAGCGTGGAACATGCAGTATATTAGGGTACATCACCTTGGGGGGAAATGCATATATTGGAGAAAACTGCATATAAAAATGTCCATGTCAGGAGAAGTTACACTAAATTACTGGTAAATTTTCCGAAGCGCTTAAAAAAAATCTGATATAAAAATGGGGGGGGGACTGAATTTAAGGTTGGAAAAATGAGAAACTGATAAAAATTAAAATTGACAAATTCACCCATCTCTGTCCCCCCCACACACATATGGAGCCCAAGCCCCCAAGTTCCAGTGTGTGCCTTCAGAGTAGAACACTTGAAACACAACACCTCTCATTTTTGAATCAAACCCAGGTGGTGAATGACTTGGCTTCTTCCCTTTGCTGTTTTGTTTCCTCTGAACACTTCTGTTTTCCAGGGGGAAAGGAGGTCAATTACCCCCTGAGTGTAGAAGCAAATCCTGCCTAGAGAACGCTTCCTCTCCCCCCCCCCCCTTGCACAGCTTTACTTGATGCAAACATTGTGCATCTCAAGTTATGGAAATCTCTTGTGCATCAACATGTGATTGTTCATCACACAGATTTCTATCCAGCAAACTGAAATATGTGCCATCAGGAGTGCAGTGGAGGGTTTTTAAATTATCGCTTCCGCTAAGCAAGAACTCTATGCAGAAACCATAGGTTTTGTCTGAAGATGATTATAACAATATTCACCCATACCATATTTGCCAGAACCTGTGACGCACCGTAGATGTATACAACTTCCTTATTCACTTTAGCGTGCAACTGATTTGAAGGAAAGAATTAATGTACTATAAACACAAAAGCAATATCAAGTGGATGTTCTCCAATGTAGCATCTGCTTGTGCAACAGGGCTCCTCTTTTCTCTCCTACCCTGCATACCCCCAAAATCAGCTCCAGACAGCTGATGCGGGGCATTCAGGAAGGTGGTGGAGGGAGTAGAGAAATGTGAAGTCCCGTTGCACAATATGCTTTCCATTGCAAAAGCAAGCAGGTACCATATCTATCTATCCATCTATCCACACACACTATGCATATCTTCCATTATTTTAACAAATGCTGTCTGTAATATTCACATCCATTCTAAGAAACTCACACCTGATCTGAATATACTCCATTTTATTCCTCTAAGTATAAACCCTGTTTTGTATTGCAAATGATCACTTCAATGTGCTTATCTAAAAAGGTAAAGGTCAAGGAACCCCTGACCATTAGGTCCAGTCTTGACCGACTCTGGGGTTGCGGCGCTCATCTCGCTTTATTGGCCGAGGGAGCCGATGTACAGCTTCCAGGTCATGTGGCCAGCATGACTAAGCCGCTTCTGGCGAACCAGAGCAGCGCATGGAAACACTGTTTACCTTCCCACCGGAGCTGTACCTATTTATCTACTTGCACTTTGACATGCTTTCGAACTGCTATGTGTTTATCTACCTGCCTTTAAAAAGTATAGCTTTATATATACTGGGCTCAGTGATCATTTGCAATACGAACCGCTTGCTGACAGCTCAAAGGTCACTTGCAGACTTACTTCCTTTGGCCACAGTTCCTCTACATAACCTTGTCTCATACAACCCACAGACTCTTGTATGAGAAACCTTACAGAAATAAGACATTTATAAGCACTCATGGAGTGCACTGGATGCTTCCAACTGGAACACTCAAAATGAATTTGCTCCTTTTGTTGATTTGCACGATTTTTGTTTTGGTTGTGAGCTGGTGCGCAATTTTTATTCATTATTGTTTCCATCAGTTTCTGAAAACATCCTTGGACATGACTGTGCATTCCTTCCAGTCTCTGGTGTTTTGTACATGAGCCCAAGTCATTATGTGACATGCCGGAGGCCTCCCACTATACAGGGCAAGACTTGGCACAGCCCAGATCTGTATGACAAGGCAAAGCATCTCTGTGCTTACATGAGGGGGCCTCATGCAAACGTCCATTTTAAAGCCTAGCATTGCCATAACGGAATCTAAAACAGAAGCGTCAACAGAATTCAGACTTGGATACTGGGCTTTATGAAAAATGTTCCCTACCGACGTGAGCCAACTCAGTCTTGTTCGCATCAAACATCTGACTGATCAACCCAGCAGTTGGTGTGTGGTGTTTTGCATGTGCAGAAAGTGCTGCACACTTCTTAGTGGTTTTACGCTTCAGCCACAATACCAAATGTGGTGGAAGAATTGAAACAGATCTTTAAGTGTATCAGCATCCCCCAGTGGCAGCAAAAGTTGCATCACTTCTCTAAGTGCTTGAGGCAGGTGTCTGCTGCAGACAGCACAGGGAGGATAAGCGAGAGCAAGGCTTGGCCATTAAAGTTCCCAGCCTTTTTTGTCTACTAAACCAGAGACCATACAGTAATTTCTGTGGCTGGGAAGAGCTTCCTCTTTAGGCTGGGCTTCAATGAAGCCCAGGTCTCGATTACTGTTTGTACCTCTGCTCTCACCCCTAAGTTTAATTTGGTTGGTTTGTGTCTTCTAATGCTGAAAAGTGTGGAGAAATTGGGGGAAGAAGGGAGAGCAGAAAGCAGTCTGTTTTGCAAAGGACAATGCTGACCACAGCTGAATTCGAAGGGGAAGTTACTTCTCTTGTGCAGAATTTATGCTGGCAGGGAAAAGAGATCCATGCTTGGAAACATTGTGTGACATGTATTGATCTGCTAGCCTACTCATTTGATAGAGTGATAATGAAGTCCTTACCAGCTACGCGCAATTCTTAAAAGGCAACATCAAATGAGCTTCAGAGTTAATCAACCTAATGTGGGGCTCATTCCCAAAAGGAAACATGCCGGGAAGCTGCCAGATAACACCTAAAATATATGTGGAGAACCTTGGCCCAGTTTCATTCATGTAGGGGAGCCTGGAGGGAGAGAAGGAGCTCTCTACAAACCATCAGTTCAGCTCTCGGGCAACATATCCTTTTCCCAGGAAAAAGAAGTTTCCCCACCTCTGATCGGGCAACTGGTACCTGCTTCTCAAAATAGCATACCACCCACATAATTTGATCAGACATAATCTTATTCCAAAGAACAGGACCTCCCTTTAAGAACAGGATACCTTTTGAATGCTCTAAGGTTGCGGTTCTCAACCTGTGCGTCCCCAGATGATGTTGGACTACAACTCCCATCATCCCTGAGCTCTGGTCTTGCTAGCTAAGGGTGATGGGAGTTGTAGTTCAACAACATCTGGGGACCCACAGGTTGAGAAAGGCTGCTCTAAGGGCATGGTAACATAATGCACTGGCATCACATTTTTTCTAACTGCTCAACGCACTTCATTTTAGATTGCTACTTACAACATAGGAGCCAACTCCTAGGGGCCGAGGTCCTTTCACCCCCCCAATAAAATATTTGAGGGGCCATCCCTCCCCCATTTTGATGGGCATTGCCATTCAAATGATGTGCATGTGCCACGTCTTGTGATCAATTATGTGGAGCAGGGCTTACCTGCCCCCCCCCATATTTTATTCAAGTTGGCACCCCTGACTTACAATAACCTGGTTAGGTAGGCCAGTATAATCTCCATATTATAGAGGTGGTGGCTGAGACTGAGAGATGGAGCAGCTTGCCTAAGGCCCACCCAGTATGCTCATGCTTGGAGTGTGAATTTAAATCAGAAACATATTAGATACCCTAATCTTATACTAGCTGATCTCCCATTGTCTCTGCCGGGGTACATTTTTATTTGCTTGCTTAATTGGGGAAAGGTTACCATCTGGATGAGCCATGACAAAATCTATGCAGCTGGACGGAATTTTATATGTCCTCATGAATTCTGAACTTTGTGACTGGCAATCACAGATGAAATTCTTTCCTTTCTTTTCTCAGGGCAAAGAGAAGTTTCTAGCCATCCTGAACAAGTACATGGAGATCCACGGCACTGTTTATTATGAAACACAGCGCCCGCCTGAAGTCCCAGCTTTTGTGAAGAATCATGGTCTCTTGCCACAGCATGAGTTCCAGCAACTCCTGAGAAAAGCCAAGGTATTTGCCACAGGCAGAAAGAAAGAGGGTTGTAGCCAAATGAAACTCTGGCAATAAGAAATTCTCCAGTTGTGTGATTGTTTTTTAAGAGTTATGTCCCAATGTGCTACGAGGAAAAGGTCTTGGAGCATGCAATGGAAATATTGCGGCAATAAAGATGTAGGAATCCATAGGGGACAAAACCCTTAGGCAGTGCTCCAGGGCTGATAATGGTGGTTGGCTGTTTCTATCTATATCTATATCTATATCTATATCTATATCTATATCTATATCTATATCTATATCATCTATATCTATATCTATATCTATATCTATATCTATATCTATATCTATATCTATATCTATATCTATATCTATATCATCTATATCTATATCTATATCTATATCTATATCTATATCTATATCTATATCTATATCTATATCTATGTCTATGTCTATGTCTATGTCTATGTCTATATCTATATCTATATCTATCTATCTATATCTATCATCTATCTATCTATCATCTATCTATCTATCTAAGAAGGAACCATGGGGGGGGGGGGAGGGAAATTGATGTTTAATGTTTTGCTTTGTATATGTGATTATGGAAAAACTCATATATATATATATATATATATATATATATATATATATATATATGACAAAATAAAAAGGGGAAAATTAGAATAAGCAGCAGTAAGGAGTGGTTTCTGGCATTTTAATATTTTTCTATTGGAATTTTATTTACAACATAACACAACCCCCCGCACCCTCCCAATACACAAATCCACCCTCATTAAACGGGAACATAACATACAGCGAGCATAACATACAACAATACAAACAACCAAGTAAAAGACTTCCTTTTAACCTGTATCTGGCCTCCTTATTTTCTTCTTATAAACGGTTTCCTTTATGAATAATTAAGATTTTTCTAATTATAACTTAAATCTTCACAAAGTCTCCTGCAGACATTAATCGAAACAATTCCAGGTATGTATTTTAGGGCACTGTTTTGTGAAGTATTCTCTGCATTTTCCCCATGCTTTTTGAAACTCTTGTCTAGTGTGATTTCTAATTGCCTCTGTTAATCTAGCCAGTTCAATATACTCTAACAGTTTTTGTTGGCACAGTTTCTTTTTCCCAGTTTTTAGCATATTAGGATCCTTGCCGCTCCTGTGGCATAGAGGAATATTTTCTGATCTTCTCTTGCTATACACTTTACATCCTGTGCCTCTTGGCATAAGGTACTCTGCAAAAAATGATAATATTGTTGCAAGTGGCCAAATCACTGAAATGAATTTCCGCTGTGAAAGCATTTCTCAGTTCAGATCTTATGGGATGTTTCTGTCATAAGAGAATGATAATGTCTGTTTTAAAGTTGGATTTTCTTATTCCCTTTATTTTTTAACCAATTACATAAACATTTAAATTTAGTTAAAGATGGATTTAGAGGTCTCTCATAACCAGAGGCCCTAAACTGTAGGTTGCTTAGTACTGGTAGGAGTACAGGTTTACAACACAAAACTAGTCAAGTCTACTCAGACGTAAAGCCTATTGAATTCAATTGGCCTTACTCCCAGCTACTAGGGAGTAGGATTGCAGCCTTAGTCACATAGCTTCTCCAGGGTCCTTGCTCTCTTATCTCAGTGGGCCATAGGACATGTTCAAACTAGAGCTCTTTGCCTGGAGTTGGTGGGGAAACATTCTTTCTTTCTCTTTTTGCCAGTTCATTCCACAGTGTGTTGCTGAATAATTTCTCCCCTCTCCTGATCTGATCACTCCGTAAGCCTGCTAATGGTTCACCTCCACAGCTGGTAATGCAAGGCTGATGAAGCCACTGCCTGTATGAAAATGGCATAATAGAATTAGAAGGGCAAAGTAGCGCAGAGCGGAAATGGTTTGGGAAAAGTTTAATCTCATTAGGGGAAGAGATAGCTGAAGATCTTACAGATGGATCTTCTTCATAATTATAGAGTCAGGAGTTCCTGCAACCCTTTAGCTATCTTGCTAGTGCTTCTAAAGAATTCACTGAAGCATATAATTGCAACAAAGAATTTATTAGGTTCGTCCTCCATTTTCTGTCCATGAACATTTAAAAGTCTCAGGTGTCTACACATTATTTTCTGTGACTTGCTCATGTCTTTAGCGACTTCAGAATGGTTTTTACTTTCAGTGTAGGAATGGAGCTTGAATCCCACCTCCAAATCCTGTGTCAAATCTCCACCCATTTCCCTCCTCACACCCCGCAGTGATCTAAATTGGGCACAATCCAGTCAAAGTTCACCACTCACTTGAAAGACCTTGACTAAAGCTGTCTTCTGTGTGCCCCAACCCAGGGGCAGAGGAAGGGGGTGCAGTGGGGTGGTCCACCCTGGGTGTCACCACTGAGGGGGGTGACAAAATGCCGGGCAGCACTCACTGCAGGGCCTGCAGTGCACCCGAGCCAATGTCTCTCCTGGGAGTGACATGGTGGCTTGGGCACCCACAGGCTCCGCGGTGCCCCAAACAGCCTGCCTGCCATCTCCCCCCCAGCTGTAGAGTGGCTGAGTGGGAGAAGTCAGGCAAACTCTTCAAAGGCCTCATGGAGTATCCTGCCCCAGCTGGCCCTGCCCTGATTGGCTTGTTCCGCCGCTGCCTCAACCATCTGAGGTGGTGGCACTCACCTGTCTGTCATGTCCTCCCCAGGGAGCCTTGCCCAGGTCCCCACCTTGATGGGTTTTGGTGCCGTGAAATGGCATTTTAATTGTATTTCCCCAGGCCTCTTAATCATCTGAACCTACTTTAAAATTGTTGTGCTGGTTTTTTATTATTGTATTATTGAAACGTATTCTTCTTAACTTAAGCTCCTCTGGGATGTCGCTTGGTATTGATGATGGTGGATATAAATTACTCACTTAAGCAAACGATCAAATAGATAAAATAACCAACAGTTCTATTGCAGCTCATGATAAACAATTGCAAAGGCAGATTTGCCCATATATTCTGGGGTTCATTTCTCCCAGTAAGGTGAACCTCCATATGCCAATGAAACAAAACAAAACAAAACAAATACAAAACACTTATTGGTGGTGTTGCTCATGGAAGCACGTTGCTCAAAACAGCCATGTACCACCTCTTCCCAAGGGAAAGAAAGAAGGTAGGTCAGAAGAGCTTGTGCAGAGACACCCTGTGTGGATACAGAGATTTATTGTATTTATTTTACCAGTGGAGCAACTGGGCACTGCCTGTCTACCCTCAACCAGCCCCTCAGCTGCCCATCTTCTAATTTACAACAGCCAGTTGAGTGAGTGGCACTGCCTGTCAGTTTCCTCCTCCTTAGTCTCAGAGTTGATTATTTGTAGAACTCAGCAGGGAGGAGGATGGGAACAAGGCTAGAATGAGTTGGCTCTGCCTGTCATTGGCTCTGGTGCCACCTACTGCTAGACCTCCTGCCTTCCATGTTACCAGTCCCAATTGGCATCAGCCACCTTAATGTATTTTACAAAATAATAGTAACATGCTAAAGGATAAGAGACAAGCCCAATCCCAAATTCACCAATTTCAACTCCTATGACTCTCTAAATTACGAATAATAAAAAAAGGTTTTTCGCTCCACTCCTAGTTTCCTGGGCTAATTCAAATATTTTCATACAAAGGCAACAATATTTCTGAATAAAGAATATTGTTAAGTGGAAGAATGAAACTGCAACATGTTCAAAGACTATCGTTTGCTATCTGCCATGTTCATTAAAATTATATGCAAATTGTTAATTAGTGACTACTGAAACATGCAAATGAGTAGAAGCTGTCTGGGCCACGTGTCCATTCAGCTGTTGTCCTCTTGGAGCCAGTGTGGTGTAGTGGTTAAGAGCGGTAGTCTCGTAATCTGGGGAACCGGGTTCGCGTCTCCGCTCCTCCACATGCAGCTGCTGGGTGACCTTGGGCTAGTCACACTTCTCTGAAGTCTCTCAGCCTCACTCACCTCACAGAGTGTTTGTTGTGGGGGAGGAAGGGAAAGGAGAATGTTAGCCGCTTTGAGACTCCTTAAGGGGAGTGAAAGGCGGGATATCAAATCCAAACTCTTCTTCTTCTTCTTCTTCTTAAATGGCACAGGTTGTTGGTACTGGACTAATTGCGGGACTTTCAGCCAACAGGTTAAAATGCCAAGCAAAGGATTGGTAGACCATTAACTCCCATGGCAAAGAACTGAAGGGTTAAACAAATAACTGAAATAGCTTTAAAATAACGTGGTTGCCAAAGATGCCTGAAATATCTGAATTTTCTCTTTGCAGCTCTTCATTGGGTTTGGTTTCCCCTATGAGGGCCCTGCCCCCTTGGAAGCAATAGCCAATGGGTGTGTTTTCCTGCAGGCTCGTTTCAACCCACCCCACAGTTCACTCAATCATGAATTCTTCAGAGGGAAGCCTACATCGAGAGAGGTAAGCCTGCTCTGAAATTGTGCGGCAAAGATCTAAGACCTGAGCCTAATTGATCTGGGTATTTCTAAAGCAGGGATGGGCAGTCTGTGGCCCTTCAGATGTTGCTAGACAGGTCAGGGGTGATGGGAGTTGTAGTCCAGCAGCAATGTCCGGAGAGCCACAAGTTCACCATCCCTGATATACTTGCAGCTTCATCACCGCTCTAATAGTGGGGTTGGAGAGCTGAAAAAAGTTCACATCCGGCAAGCAATGTGCCCCTTGGGTTTCTGATAGTACTTGGGTTCATGAGTCTAAAAGGCCCGGGACACAAATTTTCACAGCCCTCTTGCTGCTACGGTGGCTGATTTACCAGAAGTATAGTATTTAGCATTAACTCTGGAAGTGTATACTCAATTCTGAATAAAATAAACCCCCTAGAGCAAAATATACATCAGAAGGCTTAGTTTGGTCAGAATTGAGTATACACTTCCATACATACATTATTTCTGGAAAATGAGCCACCATAGCTGCCAAAGGACTGTGAAAATTTGTGTCCCAGGCTTCTTAGACTTGTCTACCTATGTATTTTCTGAAACCAAAGGGTCACATTGCTTGCCAGATGTGAAATATATTGGCATTATTTTCAGCTCTTGTAAAGGTAAAGGGACCCCTGACCATTAGGTCCAGTCGTGGCCGACTCCAGGGTTGCGGCACTCATCTCGCTTTATTGGCCGAGGGAGCCGGCGTACAGCTTCCGGGTCATGTGGCCAGCATGACTAAGCCGCTTCTGGCGAACCAGAGCAGCGCATGGAAAAGCCGTTTACCTTCCCGCCAGAGCGGTACCTATTTATCTACTTGCACTTTGACGTGCTTCGAACTGCTAGGTTGGCAGGAGCAGCGACCGAGCAACGGGAGCTCACCCCGTCACAGGGATTCGAACCGCCGACCTTCTGATCGGCAAGTCCTAGGCTCTGTGGTTTAACCCACAACGCCAACTGCGTCCCGCACTGTACCTCACTGTAAATGTGCCAGCCTTTCAGAGAACCAGTGTGTTCTAGGGGGTAGGATTATGACCTTTGATTTGGGACAGGAGTACATTGGGTGGAATTCAACCTAGTGCTAAGTCCCTCATTCCATCAGTGTGAAGATTTCACCATGGTCAACAAAACATTATCTCCACCTCTCCCCCCTCCCCCAGTTCATGCCCCCTAAATCTGTTCTAAGATTTTCTCCAACCCTCTGGGGTAGATTTGTGTAGGGCATGTGCGTCGGGGGGAAAGAGGGGAGAAGGTTCCTGTTGCTTAAGAAATCCTTTCACTGATGGGATGCTGTAGTTCATAATGCCTGTTGTTCTCTTCCAGCCTCAGTTCCCTCGTTTGTAAAAAAATATGGGGGGGGGACCTGTACAGGTGAGCTGTTGTGAGAATGAAGGAGAGCTGCTTCAAATGTCATTTTCCATGATAAAATTATAATAAGAAAAAGTGCATACCTTGTAATATGTATATCGGTGCATGAGGGAAGGGTGAGGCAGTTAGCCACATCATGTACAGGGATCAGAGAAGATGGTTCTACCTGAATTAGTACATTAGTAATTTCTTCCATGGCTTAAAGAAGTTTGTACTATATATAAGCTCCACTCAGTTTCCTTTATTTCCTTATTGCCATTTCTGATCCTCACGCTTTGCTTTGTTTTCTGAAATGCTTGCAGTCACAGTGCCCCCTGCAGGAAGTATTATGTTTCCTTTCTGTATTTTAGGTACCCTCCCAGCATCCCTATGCAGAGGATTTTATAGGGAAACCCCATGTGTGGACAGTGGACTACAATAATTCAGAGGAATTTGAAGCTGCTATCAAAGTCATTATGAGGACCAAGGTAACTGCCAGCCAAGCCTCCTGAAACATTATTAGTCATAGAAATTGAGCCTTTTATTTCAATATTTTGCAAAAAAATTAAAAAAATATACCCCAGTGGGTGGATTCAACAAGGACAGTGTCAGGTTGAGAATGAGTGTGGGTTTGCAGTCCATCTCAGGAAAATAAAGAAAAACATGACCTATTTCAGGTGTATTCTATCCCTGCCCCTGCAAACTGTAGGACAGAAAGTCAGGCCATCTGGATTAGAAGGTGTTAATAAGTGAGTGAGCTGTGTTTTGCTTTTACTTTCTTAACTTCTCCTCAAAGTTTCATCTTTTAAAATGTCACTTTCAACAAACACAGTTAAAAATAAAAACTTGGCATTTAGAAACTCAAGACATGGGAGTGTGTCCCTTATGTGACTCCCAAAACACTCTTGAGTGTTTCATGACTGTTTCCAACTTTATTTTAAGATGTACATAGACGTGGGGGAGAAATTTGATTTAGTTCACATTTAAAGGCAAGTTTACTTGATCTGCACTTTCTGAAGTAATGTGAGCACCAAGACCTGTCCTTTGAAATTTTCACTTCCCTGAATTTTGCAATGCAGTTTCTCAGCCTATCCATATACAAAAATCCATATACCGTGGGAAAGTGTGCACAAAATTTGCACATATTCATGAAAATAACATGCAAGTATGCATTGTATTAGGGGGAATTGCACTGCAGAAAAGGTGTCTGTTAGGCAAAATTGCATACAAATATGTATATGTTCAGATAAATTTGCAAAAAAAAGAAAAGAGGACTTTTCATGAACACTTAAAAAAAAAAAGAAACCACATATGGGAGAACTGAAGACTGGGGGGGGGGGAATGAGAAATGAAAACAAAACAGAACTGACAGATCCACCCATCCCTTCATGTACATAAACATAATGTAGGACAGGCACACACATTCAACTATTTCATAGCAATGACCCACATATGGCAAACTCAATGCTGGCATTTCTGCTCCTGGTTTTACCAAGCACACATCTTTGCAGTTAAAAGCAAAACTAAACTTACATTTGAAAGAAATACTTCTAAAGTGACTTTTGCAAGCATTCAAAGACCAAATGAGACACGGCAGTTAATATCTGGCTACCATGAAAAACGGTTGCCACACATTTTGTTCTCATTCTCCCCTGTGGAATATTGAGGGAGAATTTATACCTTGTGGCTTGAGTGACATCAGAATGTTCAACAAGGTCTTAAGGATAGCTCAGTCGGGAGAACATGAGCCTCTTAAGAGACTCTTCATCTCAAGATTGTGGGTTTGAGTCCCACATTGCACAAAAAATTCTTGCACTGCAGGGACTTGGACTAGATGTTCCTCATGGTTCCTTCCAATTCTGCAAGTCTATGAATACAATTCTACAAAATAAACAGATGACCAGGCCTGCTATCCGCGCTGAGGTCTGCTCACGAGGGTGAAACACACATGTCATGAGTGACCCAAGGTTGCCTTTGCTAGTTGATACAGAAGAGGAAGGGGGAACCAGATGTATTTCCTGCACTTTTTTGAAAACTGTCACACCTTTGCTAACATCTAGTTTAGCCCTAAGATATGAGTTTTAAGATTGCATGTACGGAAAGAAGTAACGTCAGCCACAGGCCTCAGCATTTATACCTTTGTTTTCAGATAAATCTTTTCCAGCTTCTGGGCAATTTCTCAAAGATTGCTCTGCAGAGCCTCTCCTGTATCAGGAGGTATTAACACAACTTGCCTGCTGTTCACTCCTACCATGCAAGTGCTATAAAAGCTCAGGATAATTTATCTTCTTTGATTTAATTATTCATTATTAGTATATTAGCAGTATTTGTATTAAGCCAGCCAACAATAAGGGGAAGAGCCTCAAGTGCTGCCTTTTAAATATGAGCATTGTAGACACACACACACACACACACACACACACTTTTTTGGGGGGGAAATGACTGGGAAGTAAGGAAAAGGACCTTCTGAAAAACGCAGCACCTGCTGTGTGATGCGGTTTCTCAAAGACTTTTAAAATGTATCTGTCATGAATATTTACTTCTCCCACAGCAGAAGCCTTTCAAGTTGTCCAGATCATTAAAGTCAATTCTCCTGGAGGGAGAAAATGTGCTGATCTCCATTTTGCTCACAATTTGCTTTGGGTGGGGGAGATGGGTGTCTCTGTTGTTTGAAAAGACAATGCGCTGCAAAATGGTGCCTCTCTTAATACCCAAGTCTGACTCAGAAGGTTGGCAGGAATGAGGGAACTCAAATCAACTGAGTGACTATTAAAAGGGATATATTTTTTTAGGAACCAGTGACTGCTGCTTCACACATTACGTAGTAGCAACTCCAAGCTTGTCTCCAAGTGAACACAGGCCAGGAAGCTATCACCAGTCCCAGCTCCCCAGTAAGCATACTTGGATCACCCAATCCACAGAGGTAGCCATAATAGTCTGTAGCAGAAGAAAACACAGAGAGTCTGGTAGCTTCTTAAAGACTACATTGGTACCTTGGTTTACAACCATAATCCGTTCTGGAGGTCCGTTTGTAAACCAAAACAGGTTGTAACCCAAGGCGTGCTTTCGCCAATGGGGCCTCCAAAAATGTTTTGTTCTTAATAAAAATAAATAAATGGGTTGTAATCCAAAAAGGTTGCAAACCGGGACACGAACCGCACTTCCGGGTTTGACATGTTTGTAATCCAAAACATATGCAAACCAAGACGTATGCAAATCAAGATACCACTGTACTAGATTTATTTTTTTCATTACAGTTTCATAAACTGTAAAGAAAACAGCCACAATATATCTTCTCTTCCTTAAGGTGATGCAATACTCTTTTGTTTCTGTATAACATGAAGGTTTGCTACCTTGTTTAGACTGCTGGGCGTGAGAGATGGGGCCTTTTCGGTGGTGGCTCTGCCCTTGTGGAGTTCTGTTCCAGTTGAGATTCAAATCACCCTACCATCTCAAGTGGAAGTTAAAGACCTATCTGTTCTGAGACTTTTCTCCCTGCCCTTGCCAAGTATACTATACTTCTGCTGCTGTGTTTGGTGCCTCTAGTTTCATCAGATGTTGTGGTTTTATATTTTACCTTAGTATGAAGTAAGCAGCTTTGTGAAGTCTTGGCCCTGAAACAAATAAATTAATATCCTTCCCCTCCACCACCATTAAGTTCAGTTAATCAAATTTAGACCGCTCAAACTAGCAACCAAGTATTAGGAAGCAATAACAACTCTCCAGCATCTGAGTAGTTGGTCTGATGTGGGGGGTGGGGGTTTCTGATTTCCATATCTCCAAAATTTTGAGAAATACCCTCTGTATCCTGAGAAACATAACTATTCTCTGAGCATGTAAAGAAGATAAAATAGGGTACATGGGAGGTTTCTTAGTGTATTTGACTGAAGAGGCAAAAGCAGATAGCATGATTAAAAGCAGGTGGGGCATGTCTCCTCACAAGCAGGCTCCATTGTCAGCCTTCTGCTATAGAAGCTGTGTATCTACTCTAAAACCACTTTGCTCCAACTGTGGGCCTATATTTGGTTCAAGTTCAAAATTGGTCCATAATGATGTAGGGCAAGATCTCCCTGTTGTTGAAGAACTGTATGAGATGAAAGCCTCCAAAGGGGGTCAAGTTGGGTCAGGCCTCACATTTCAAAAGAACGCGGTCAGGAAGCTAAAATAAGACCTTCAGAGCCTTCTTTTCTTTAACAAGTGTTAAACAGATTGAACTGCTTTCAATGAAGAGCAGAAGAGTGGCAATGAGACCTCTCCCCACCCACGCAGTAGACACACTTCAAACAGAGGACCAAGTTAGGCGCTCATCTTCAAACTATGGCTTCTGGTCTCTTATTGACTAGCTATGAAAGCCCAGAGCAATGTCGCTATATGAATCCTTAGGTTTTGTCATTCGTATAAATGACAGGAGCTGTTTGTTCAACTCCTAGGTCTCAGACAGAAAGGTGGGGCTGCATCAGCAAGAAATTAGGGTTGGGGGGGGAATTGGTTTTGTTCGCATTTCAATCTGCACTTCTCAAACCAATAGGCAAACTGACAAATGATTATCCTTCAAAATTCGCACTCCCCTGAATTTAGTAGTGCAGTTCTCCAACAAATGATGTTTACAAAAATGCTTCTGCTAGGGGAAAGGGTGTGGGATGATACTGGCTGTTGTGGCAATGCTGGGCCAGGAAGCAAGAGTCCTCTTTGGCTGATGAAGTGGAGGCCTCTGATCAGGAAGTCAAAGGGCTTGCTCCAGACGTGTTGCTACCTGACAAACCTGCAGTGCCTGTGTCCCACCTAACCGGAGGATGTGGCACTGCCATCCTCAGACTCATGGGGGACTCAGTGAAACCAGAGACTCCCCCACTCTGGGACAATAAGAGAGCAATGAAGACAACTGGGTTCCTTTCAGCAAAGCAGCACCTTCCAGTATAGGCGAGACTCACCATCAGGAGGCAGTAGTGCTACTATCATACAGGGCTGAGGTTGTTCCCTGCTGAAGCAACAAAGGAGCTTTGTGTATGCAGAGCACAGGTTGGGCCCCTGGCTTCCAGCTGAACCATTCTCCACCTATTCTTGCAAATTTGCACTAAAATACTGATGATTTTTCAAGGGGAGATTTATTTATTTTTAAAGCAAGACTGTGGAAATGTGAAGAACTGAAGACTGGAAAATGAGAAACCGGAGGAAACAAAAATTAACATATTTGCCCAATCAGCAGACAGGTGGGTGGGCAAGGTCACCCCACAAACAGCAGGGATACCAAGAAGGATGTGATGCAGCTGCCCTCAATGGCGGAACCAGAAGTGGTAGTGATCACACATGGGGTAGAAGCAAACAGAGTCAGGGGCTCCAGGTTCTAGCTTAACAGCTCCTGATCCCACTGACAACAATGGAGTTTGGATCCACCCTTCATTTTAGTTTAAGATGTAAGAAAACTTGGATACCACAATGCAACTGAAATGTGCAGTGAAACTCTGAGAGAAAATGGTTGGCTGGCGTACCCCCTCAGCCCTGTCCTACCCTCAGTTCCCATTCCGGAACGCATCTTCCTAGGCTACTCCCTCAACACATTAGAGCTGCTTTCAAAAATATGTTCTGCAAACCACCCTGAAAGCGGTAGAGAATACAAAGCGATTTGCAGCCACTTTGCTCCTTTTTATTTTTAAAGGGCTGGGATATTAGAGATGCTGTCAAGGCAATTAGGCCTAAAAACTGACCTACCTTAAAAGCTTGAAAGCCTTATTATAGTCTTTTTGCTGTTGGGTTCCCCTGATATTTTGTCTTTGAAACACTGTTCTGCTGCAGCAGGAAATGTACAAAGAAAAAAACCAACGGCGAGGTTGAGGAGGAGACTGGGAGGCTTAGAATGGACGTTCTCAACAGGCTGTCTATGTCCTGGAGTTTTCTTTTTTTTTTTTTTTTAATTAATATTTATTAAGTTTTCAAGGAATAACAACAAAAATTTCCAAAAAAATTGAAAATACAAAAAGCAAAAATGATAAAGAAATAAAAAAGAAAAAACCCAACCATAAAGAAAAAAAGAAAAAAAGAAAAACAAAAGTATAAAATCAATTACGATCTCTATTAACTTCCTTTCTAGACTTCCTCCTCCTCCCCTCTCTTGTTTCTTAATTTTTAATTTTTACAGCAAATCCTTTCTGTTTTTTCATAACATTCTATCATTACATTTCCTTATTCTATTTTCCCTCTTGTCATATAAAAACTTTAAAACTCAAAGCTTATATTCAGTATTTACCAAATTCTTACATCATTACCTTTTGCAAATCATTTACCAATCATTACTTAAGCCATATAGTTTCATTCAACATCTTTCAAACATTTATGAACGTTCCCAATATTGAAAAATAGAAAAATAAAATAAGATAATAAGTCAGACACAATCCAGTCCACTTCCCGCGCCCCTCCCTGGACCCGGGATTGTCAGTCCTTTAACCTCAATAGTCCGGCTCCTTAACCTGGTTGTCTCGTGTCCGAGGCCCTCAAATCTCTTTCTTGCCCCTTTCGCAGCTCTTCTTGATGTTTCCCTTTCAGTCGTGGGTACTCCAGCAGAAAGATACTTTTGACCCTTTGCAACAAGTCCATCCCATGCCCATTGTCCAAGCCAGACAGCAGATAATACCACTTCAAGTTTCCTTGAAACTTGGAGGCTCCGACTACTCCAATCCTCTGATGGCCCATCACTAGACTCGGAAAGTCCAGATAACCATATAAAGGGGGGTCAATCCATCCCCCCCATTTCCAAATCTAACCACATTTCATCTTTCCGAATCTGATTTATCCCAAGTTCATTTATCAAGTTCAAAGGCTGATCCTGCCGGTCCAAAGGTCCCTCCATCTCTGAAGCCTCCATCACTACAGCAGGTTCATATACTTGTAGATATTTTAACTGAGTTCCATTTACTTGCTGCTGTGCTCTGGTAACTTCCGTCATCAAGGTCGTCTCCTGACGCATCTGGTCCAGCTGGGCACTTAGTTTTGAAAAACCTTCCAGGAACATTTGTTCAAGCCTTTGTACAAGCATTGTCCTTCAGGGTCAAAGAAAATTCTTTCCCACGATTATAGTCCTTCACTTTTAAGCTCTCTGCGTTGCAGTTTCACTAAATCCCACTAGAGGGAAAACCTTTTTTTCCTTTTTTTTTTTATAAAGGAGAAAAACATCAGCAACAGTCTTTCTTTTCCAGATACACTTTATCCAAAGTTCCCCCCTTCAAAATTCAAGAGGCAACAGTAGAGTCACAATGTTACCTTTCTTTTAACTATCTGTCGAGCTGGACAAGCTTCAAGACGTCAGTTCTGACAGCCCGCTCCTGGTTCAGGGCGGTGGAAAATTACTTTGTTTTAAACTCACTTCCGCAGGGTTAAAAAGTCCAAAACAACCCCCTTCTCCTGCAGTCAAAGGGGGGTTCAGAAATCTTAGATGTTGAATTCTAGTTCTCTCAGAATTTAATTTTCAAGCTTTAGTATATTTTGTCTTTGCTTTCTTCACGTAACAAAAGAACGGAAGGTTGACTTCCTGTTTAGACCTTCTCGTTCCAAGTCCCAATTAAATTCAATTTCAAGTCCAATTTATTTATTTATTCACCAGTCTTAAAAGTAATTCAGCTCTTCCAAGATCAGGTACTCACGGATAGATGTTTTAGATGCCAAATTGTCCCAGGAAAAGGCAGCGCTCTCCGGAAACGGCAGTGCGGCTTTGCTGCACGAAAGAAGCAGTCGACTCACAGCACCATGCACCTCCCACTCCGGAGCCCGTTACCGGGCTCCTGTACAAGGGGAGAGAGCGCTCACGGTGCCCGCTGAGTCCCACGTCCACAGGCTTCATCCGCCTGTGGGTTTTAAGGGTCCCCGCTGCGCCGTAGCGGTAGGACCCAAGCTTCCGTGCAGCGGGTTCCCTTCAACTTGAAGGGAATTCCGCCATTTTCCGGAGGCGCCACCCCGGAAGTCCTGGAGTTTTCTTCCCCTGCCTCCAATCTGACTAGAATGGGAATCTTTGAATTTGTGAGTCATACAGAGGTAGTCAACATGGCATCCTCCAGATGTTTCTGAACTACAGCTCCCATCATCTCCAAGCATGGGCCATGCTGGTTAGACCTGATTAGTCAGACAACATCTGGAAGCCACCACACTGGCTACCCCTACAGTAGATAGTCTAAGTGTGCAGAGCTCCGTCTCTTGTTGATCTGAATGAAGAGCATTCCTTGTTACTAAAGCTTCTGCAAGCTTCTCTGTGCTGGGTTTATGTCTGCACAGTTTGTGGACCCACCAGCCAAACACAGGTGAGCTAGAAGCTCAAGAGCCCCCCCTCCCTCAGAGTTTGTGCTGGCCTAGTTTATGTGCTCATGTTTTTGGTCCAGCCATCCAACATAAGTTATGGTTCCTGAAGATAATTATAGCAAGAGCTTACCTTTTTTTCCCCTTGCAACACTCAGCATCTCATAGCATAAGGAGAGGAGACTACAGAGCAGCTGCATGGAGCCAAGAGAGCATGTGAGACAAAAAAGACAAATTGCAGCCCACGGGGAAAGGTGACACTGGGAGTATTGTCCCTGTGATGAATTACAGCTCTTAGCAGAGAGGTTAAAGGCAACAGGCAGAGACGGGGTGGCTTTCCTTTGAGGTCATTTGCTTGAACTTCAGCTTCTACATTTTCAAAGAAAAAACCACGGTTCTTACACAAGCAATTTAATACAGCCAATATTCTGGTGTAGTGAAGGGAGAAGCCTTCATTATATTAAAGTCAAATGTACAGGAATATAATGGAAAATTATATATTTCAGGCTATGCTTGGGAGAGTAGCATATTAAGCATTGCTGTGAAAATAGCTGGTTAAAATATCCCCAGGCTGCTGCTACACACTGTTAGACAATTGCATTATTTTCTATTTATTTGGCTGATAACATTTAGGTTGGGCTTTCTCCCCCCTACCTTCCTCCCACAATTTTGTTTGAGAAGGATTCATTATTCTTCTCGGAGCTATGATTCCTGTTGGAGACCCAGATTCCTGTGGAGAAATCATATATTTGAATCTATTCCTGGGTTGTGAGTACGTTTGCTTGCTACCCATTATTTGAATGGAGGCGCCCTCTTTTAAGAGACTGTATTTATCATGGTACATTGGTACTGCTGCAATAAAGCCAACTTCCAGAGCACCTCTACAAAAATGTGGCTCAGCTGACATGCCTAGAGACTGAGAGGAAGCTCGCAGCTAGGTGAGATGACCTGTTACTATGTTAGCCGCCCTGAGTGGCTGGAGCAACACAGTCAGATGGTATTACTACTACTACTGGCCATTATTACTACCAACCTTACTATATGCTTGTGAAACATGGACAACTTATAAACACCATCTCCAACTCCTCAAAAGATTCCATCAACGGTGTCTCTGAAAAATTTTACACATCACTTGGGAAGACAGGCGAACTAATATCAGTGTACTGGCAGAAGCAAAGAGCACCAGTGTTGAAGCAATGATTCTTCAATATCAACTTCATTGGACTGGTCATGTTGGGTGGGTGCCTGATAATCGTCTTCCAAAGCTCTATTCTGAACTTAAAAATGGAAAGCGTAATGCTTGTGGTCAACAAAAGAGGTTTAAAGACTGTCTCAAGGCAAATCTTAAAAAATGTAGTATAAACACTGACAACTGGGAAATTTGGAGAACAGGCTTTACCAAAGGTGTCATGGGCTTTGAAGACACTTGAACTCAGGAGGCAAGGGAGAAATGTGCTAAAAGGAAGGCACGCTTGGCAAATCCATACCGTGATCAACTCCCGCTCGGAAACCAATGTTCCCACTGTGGAAGGATGTGTGAATCCAGAACTGGCCTCCACCCTCACTTACGGGCTCATTGTTAAAACCGTGTTTATAGAAGACAATCTTACTCGGCTACGAGTGATCGCCAAAGAAGAAAGATTGTTCTCCATACAGCAACTGAGTCTTCATACCTGTTTCCCAACCAAGAAGGAAATATTAGATTTATTCAAGGGAATGTTCCTTGTTACAGAGTATCAATGGTATGCTGGCTGTTTGGCCATAATAATAAATTTTCATTCATTCAGAGTATCAATGGGACTCCCCCTTTAATGACTCCTTGGTATTACTGAGTTCCTCACACCTGAACTCTCCAAGTGGTGTAGTTATGAACATCACATTAGCACAGACATCTGTCTGAAGCTGCTATTTGCATTTCAAGGGAAGCTTCCATTGCTGCCAATGGAATTGTGGCAGGGAGAGAAAAAGTTAACCATTCCCTTCCTAAGGCTGCTCCGGTTATCCCTTGGCTGCTATTTACATAACCAACAACAACAACAACAATAGCATTCATGCAATTAATGCCAGGTCCAGTTTGGGCCTTGGTGAAGAAGGGCTTCTCACAGAGACTGCTGTTCCAGAATAGCATGTGATATTGTATCTGGGCCTATTTTAAAAGGAAGGTACACATTTGTTTCTTTGAGTTATTTCTTCCTCTCAGTGCTGCTAATAGCCTCACAAAGTCCAAAGGGGCCTACTAAACAAACATTGTGTTTATGCCATGGATGTCAAAGAGAATACATACTGTGAAGTGTCTTCTGACATGTCTTTCTCTCCCCCACCCACCCATTTCCCATTTTACCCACCTTATGCCTATTCAGCTAGATAAACCTGAACATAATTAAGAAAAACTTGTTACTTCTTCGCTTCTTATGCAGGCTGTCAGGGCTACACATGCTGGTGGTTTTTGATGGCTCCTGTTGTGAGGGTGGCATCTGTTCCCTTCCTGGCACCAGAGTGCAAAGGGAGTCTTTGATGGATGAGAGAAACGTGGTTTCCCAGCCCCTCTGGAATCTCCCCCTCCTCCACTGTGACTCTCATTCAAATCACCCTCCCTGCCTTCCCTAGGGCACAACCACTTTCCTCATTATCTTGTCTTTTCTGCATTCTTCCTCCTGCCCTTGTCCCTGTAATCGAAGCACTCATCTTCGCTACACTATTTCTGATGACCCATCTGTTCACCACGGTCCCAAGAGCACCTCTCGCATTATCTCTTTCTTTTCTTCCTTCTGTTTATAAATTCAGATTGTGCAGTCAAGGCCACAGCAAAGTGCCAATTCCTCCAAAATAATTGTTTAATTAAAATCCGACACTTCCTACCTCCTGTTGGTCACTGCGGTGTTTTGAGACCTTTCCAGAACACCATCTATCATAAGAGAGGCAGTTTCCCTCTGCGGGAGAAAGAGGATACAAACACGCTCCGTTTGAGGCCAGATTCCATTTTACATTGTACCCAGGTAGACCTACTGAACTTAGCACAAAATGCCAAAATGTAATTTAGTAGAACATTAGCTCTGATGGTGCCAGGTTCTGGCCTTGGAACTGAGGGGAAGCCAAAACCTAATTGAGAGGTGAAGCATTGTACCAGAGCCAAGTCTGCTTACTTATTCTTTGAGGGCTGTGCAATTTAGCTGCGGGATGACTCTGCTGGTATTAGACTCTCGAGTAAATTAAATAAAAATTATTCTTTGCGGCCACTAAGTGTGGCATTGTGCCATTGTGTGTTCCATGTGATGATTGCATTTGTCTTATGGTGCCTTGGTTGTTTTAAGCCTTAGTTGCCTTCATGCAATCCTAAGAAATACTTTTTCTCTCCTTCATCTGATGGGTAGGAAATAGTTTACTCATGATCAGATGCCATGGTGATAATGATCGAAGGAACCACTCCTCCAGAGAGTGAAACAAGCTCACTCCAAGGAAAGCGTGATGATGAAGTGGTACTTAGTCAGCTTCAGGCCAAGAGCATGACATATGCCGACACTCGACTTGCTCAAGACCAGTTATTTTGATGGATTTTGATCAAAAGGTTTTTTATATGTGTTCTTAAGTTCAGAGAATTAGGCCACCACAATCTGTCTTAATACAGTGATTTGTTCTGCTCCTTCTTGGGGAGCCAGACAAGCTAAAGTCTCACCACAGACCTGGTATTCTGCGAATAATGGCTTCACAATTTTTAGGCCCTTCTGCCCTCATTTGGGGATTTTGTTCCTTTGTAGGTTGAGGCAGCAATCCTGCACATGCTTACCTGGGAGTAAGGCTTATTTATTTAATCATTCCCTTTATTTCCCATCTTGACTACCTGGAGCCCAGGGTGGGGTAGTATGTGACTCTCTCCTTTCTCCATATCGCTTTCAATGAGGTAGGTCAAACCTGGTGCACTGCATCCCATTTTGTCGCTTGAGGTAAAACAAGAATTGCGGCCCTGCCACCAGCTGTTCCACCTGCCGCACTGCCTCCACCACCAGTGGAGAAGTGGAGTCAGCACTGGCATCCATTTCCATTAAGGTCTCACCCAAACCTCATGAGATCCCATGCACTCCATGAAGTCTTTCAAGATTTCAGTGAGATCTCACCAGAAATCATTGCCGATGCCAGCAGCAGAAGAAATGAGCGAGCGGGGGGCCCATGGGAGTGCCCCCACATCGGCGGCTTCACGCTGCCTCATGGGTGCTCCAGGCCTGGGTTAAGCTGATACTTGGTCTTTACAGCTGAGTAGAGAGATGAACTCTGATCTCCCAAATCCTAGTCACACACTCTAACCACCACACCACACCACACCACACCACACCACACCACACCACACAGGCTCTCACTATATACTACACTCTGGCTCTGAGCAGATGTACATAGGACTGCACTGTAAGGATTGTTCCATAGGTACCAGCTGTTTTCTAGTACTTGTTTTTTATTAATCATTTTCCCAATTTTGCATTTGATGGATGCTTAAAAACAAAAAACAAATCTGTTAATCTGTGCATATGTGCACTAGGTTCTTTTTTTAAAAAAATTATTTATACAACAAGAAAAAAAACACACACAAAAAACACAAATACCAAATTACACACAAATTACAAAAATAACCATAGACACATAATTTTCTTGGCAAACAATAAAACATCTATTGGTCTTAACACTAAAGACCCAACTTCCCGTCTATTCCATATTTCAAATTCATATTACGTATTGCCAATACACATTTTTTTCATAATTAAACTTATTCTCAATAAATCTAATTTCTTCTATCTACCTAGCAACTATCACTGAAGTTCCTCGAATGCTGCAACAGAATTTAAACTACTATATTTATTTTTCAGATATTCTTTGAAAACCTCCCATTTAGAAACAAATTCCTGTTTTGATTTATTCTTTATTTTTCTGATAAACCATCTAATTCGGCATATTCTGTCAGCTTTTGGATCCAATCTTGTATAGAGGGGATTTCATTACTCTTCCATTTTGCTGCGATCAAAACTCTTGTTGCCGCTGTCGCATATAAAAAGATACCCTTCCTCTTTTGTGGAATATCCAAATCTGTTATTCCCAGGAGGTAGGGTAGGCCTCTGGTTTTCTTTAGCATTTTTTGCAGTTCTGCATGTATACTCTCCCAGAATACCTGTATTTTCCTACATATCCACCACATATGGTAGAATGTTCCTGAGTCTCCGCATCTCCAACAATTACTTGACACATTTTTATACATTTTTGAAAGTTTCCATGGTGTTAGATACCATCGATGTTGCATTTTTTTGAAAGTTCTCTCTAATCGTGTAACAGTTTGTGAATTTCCAATTGATCTTCCATAAATTTTCCCATTGGGCCATGGTTATTGAATGGCCAAAATCCTGGGACCACCTCACCATTGCCACTGTTACCTCCTCCTCCTTGACTATCCAGTCAAGGAGGAGTTGATAAGTTTTGGAAAGAGTTTTTCTTTTTGAGTTTACAAGATCAGATTCGAATCGGGAAATTTCTGCTGAGAACCTCTTTTGTTTGTCAGATTTAAATTTTTCAAATAACTGATGGTATTGGAACCAGTCTGAAATGTGTTCTCTTATTTCCTCAAAGTTTTTTAATTTTATTTGGTTGTCCTCATTTTTTAGAAGTATTTTATATGTTGGCCAGCTTTCCTGAGTATTTTTCTGTTTTACTGCTATGGCTTCTACTGGAGAAGTCCACCACGGGACTTTAGGCTCCATCAGGTCTTTATATTTTTCCCATACAGCAAAGAGTGACTTTCTTATTATGTGGTTGGTAAAATTTTTATGAATTTTCACTTTTCCATATATTAGGTAGGCGTGCCATCCCCAACGGTTGTCAAAACCTTCCAGGTCCAGGAGGTCCGGATCCTGCAACGTGCACCAATCTTTTAGCCAGGTGAAACAGGCAGCCTCGTAGTAAAGTTTTAGGTCGGGTAGGGAAAAGCCTCCTCTCTCTTTTATGTCTATTAAGATCAGGTGTTTAATCCTAGGTTTCTTCCCTTCCCACAGGAATTTGGAAATTTCTCTTTGCCATATCTTGAGACAACCTGCTTCACCCAGTATCGGAATCATTTGAAATAAAAATATTAATTTTGGAAGCACATTCATCTTTATAATGGAAATCCTACCCAGAAATGTTAATTTTAGTTTACTCCAGATTACCAAGTTTTTCTAATCTCTAACCAAGTTTTGGTGTAATTATCCTGAAATAAGTTTATGTTCTTGGGGGTGATCCAAATACCCAAGTATTTCGCTTTTGAAGAGATTTTCAGGCCCAATATTTTTTCTAAGTCGTCCTTTTCTTCTGTGGTTACATTTTTAACAAGCATTTTTGCTTTTGTTATATTCATCTTAAAGCCTGCCACATCTCCAAATTCTTTAATCAATTCCAGCACTCTTTTCAGACTTTCTTTAGGGTTTTCAGTCATAACAAGTAAATCGTCCGCAAAAGCTTTAATTTTATATGTTTTGTTTCCCAGAGTGATGCCTTTAACAAGCTCATCCTTTCTTATCTGATTGTTCAAGACTTCCATCACCAAGATAAATATCAGTGGTGACAGTGGGCAGCCCTGTCTGGTTCCCTTGTTTATTTTGCACTCCTCAGTAATTCTTCCGTTGATGATCAATTTTGCATATTGTTCCGAATAGATGGCATTTATTCCTTTACAAATATTTTCTCCCAGTCCGATTTCTTCCATTAATTTTTTCATAAACTTCCAGGACACGTTATCAAAAGCTTTTTCAGCGTCCACCAACATAATAGCTGCTGGTTTATCAATTTTAATATCCAAATATTCTAATACATTAATCACACATCTAATATTGGATTGCATAAATCGTCCGGGAAGAAATCCAGTTTGATCTTTATGAATTATCTCTTTCAGCACCATTTTTAATCTATTTGCAAGAATGTCTGCGAATATCTTGTAATCGTTATTTAGCAGTGCAATGGGTCTGTAATTGGCCATGTTTGAGGCATCTGTTCCCTGTTTATGGATAAGAGTAATAAAGCTGTCCTTCCAGGTTTTCGGAAGCTTTCCATTTGCCAGAATATTATTCATTAGGTCTTTCATAGGAAGAAATAATGCTTGTTCTAACTTTTTATAGTAATTAGCTGGAAGACCATCTGGGCCCGGTGTCTTTCCTAATTTTGATCTCTGTATAGCTTGTTGCACCTCCATAGCTGTTATTGGTGAGTTCAAGATTTCAGTTTTTTCCTTAGGTATTATTGGTAGTTTATTTTTGCCCAAATAATCAATTATTTTTCTAGAGTCTCTGGACCTTCTTTATATAGTTTTCCGAAAAAACTAGCAAAGTTTTTACTAATTTCCTTCGGTTCTTGAATCCATTTGTCTTCAATTTTAATTTTATTGATAATTCTATCTTCCTTTTTCTTCTTTAATTGCCAGGCCAGAAGTTTGCCATGTTTATTTGCAAACTCAAAATTTCTATGTCTCAACCATTTTATCTTCCATTCTATCTCTTCATTTATTATCATGGAGAATTGCGTCTGTAAAATTTTTATACTTTGCTTAATTAGTTCATCATCTGGTTTTTGGGAAAGGATCCTTTCCTTTTTTCTAATTTCCTCCCAGATCTCCATTTTCTTCTTCTCCTTTATTTTCCTTTGGAATGTGTTTTGTTGTATAAAGAAGCCTCTTATGACGGCTTTACCCATGTCCCAAACCGTCTCTACATCTACTCCTTGATTTAAATTAAACTTAAAATATTCTTCTAAGATTTGCTTGGCCTTCTGTACAATTTTTTCATCGTTTAGCATACTCTCATTAAGTTGCCACCTCTTAACCTTTTATTCTTTTCCTTTAAAGTTAACCCACACCGCGCTGTGATCTGAAATTGTCCTTGGATGGATTTCTGCTTTTGTAATATTATTTAATAAATCCTTTGTTGTCCAGATCGCGTCGATTCGTCCCGCCGATTTATGTGGTTCTGAATAATGTGTAAATTCTTTCTCTGTTGGATTCTTAAACCTCCAAGCATCGAACAAATTCAGGAGTTCTATTAATTGGAAAAATGTAGTTGGGAGTGCACTAGGTTTTTGACATACGCATGCAGCCTTTGTAGAGAGTAAATATTGCTGAATGTGCTTGAGTTGCAACTGCTCTGTAATAAGCCCAATGAGATCCATTCTGAAACAGCTAGAAATGAGGAGTTAACAAATAAAACTGCAAACACACCCTGCTTAAAAAGCCAGTGCAAGTCAGTCTCTCGTGCAGTAAATTAATTTAGTGACTTGCTAGTTGCGATGGTGCTATTGTAAGCATTTCGAAATGGTGTTTGTGGCCATTCTGTAGACCTTCTCTTCACCTTCTCCTCCATCTCCGTTGCCTGTGTCAGAGCCATGGTTACTTTATTTATGCACCGTCTTCTCATATCTTCAAAGTAGTTTGCACCATGTGGTGTCCATTGAGAAGGCACCTACCACCCACGCCTTTTGTAGTCTATTACTGTTGAGTCCATCCATCATGGCCGTCCATCAGTGGTGCTCTTGCAGCCTTCCTTGTGCCATTTGTTTGAAAAGAACCCAGCAGAGCAGAAGGCCATTGCTGACATATGCATGAAACTGCCCATATGAAACCAGGTGCAGTTTGAGGTGTTGATTCTAGCATTTGAAGCACTAAACAACTTGGAACCATGTTCCCTAAGGGACCACCTCATCCCGTTTTCTCCTGCCCATCAACTGTGCTGCTTGGATGGGGCACAGCTGAGAGTATCACATGCCCCAGAGGTGCACTTAGCTTGTACCAGAAGCTGGGCTTTTAGTGTTGCAGCTACAGCACTCTGGAATCAGCAGCTGAAATTCAGTAGGTGCCTAGCATCTTGATATTTAGGTGCTGAATGTATTTAGGTACTGAATGTATTTTTTTCTAAGAAGGGTTTTCCTTGTGTGGTCCCATCGAATGTTAACTATGCAGTTGTAGAAATGGTTGTATTGTTTTTAGAGTCTGTGTCTTTTTTCATTTCACCTCATTTCATCTTAGCTTCTGGTTGAGAAGCAGTTTTTAAATCTGCCAAATAAATAAATAAGCTGGTGAAATGCAACATTGACACCACCAGTACCACAAAAGCAGATTTCTCTTTTTTTCTCTCCTGCTTTTAGAATTAAAGTAGGACAATTCTGTCTTATAGAAATCTATTTTATGTGTGAACAATGAAGTACAATGCAGAGCTCTCTGCTAGGAGAGTCGAGTAGGCAATTGTGCTACGACAAGCTAGACATTTCTATTTAAGGAACTCACAGAAGCGCCCATCACTTTCCTGTCTGAAGGTTCCCGAATCAAACCAGGGCAAGTTCAATAATTCATAGGCAGTATCAACTCCTGTCATTATGTCGAAACTGATTACCGTTTGCACCTGTAATTAGATATAATGGGTACAATCTCCAGCCTTGCTGAACTCTCATCTGAGATATTTATGGCAGAAGGTTGCTTAGCAGTGTCTCCTACAGCCTTTGGAGTTATTCATACATCAGAAGAGAAGAAGTAACTCCATTTAGCACATATGTGACTGGAACAGTAGACAGAAGATGGGTCATAAACTGAGAGAGAGCCCTTGGCTTGTGACTCATTTGCTGCTCATTGCCTGCTGAGATGCTCCTAGGACAGTGACATTATCATAGCATCCTAGAGCTGTAGGATTAGTATGGTTCTGAACATTGACTAGCTGGAGCACAGGGATCCAATGTGATGCCTTCCAGATATTGCTGGACAACAACACCCATAATCCCTACCATTAGCCATGCTAGCTGAGGCTGATGGTAACTGTAGTCTGGAAACACCTGGATGGCATCATGTTTTCTGCCTCTGATCTAGATGTTGTGTATCCCTTGTGTACAAGTCCCACTGTAGTGGTGGAGTTCTGGTCAGTCTTCTGTGGATCCATCACTATGTGAGAAGTGTTCTGAACATAAGGATTCTTCCTTTTGGAAAAGTTTCATGGCAAATGGTGAAGCGGTATAACAGGGAATAATTACACATGATAGTAACAACAGACAAAAAAAGTATCCAATGTCAACCTTGTTTTGGCTGTTTTGTTAAGTTTTTTTCCATTTGTTTCCATTTTTGAAAGGCAGCTGTAATTTGTGAAGCTTACATTAACAGAGAATACTTTATATGGCTGGATGATTTGAATCTGAAAAGTTTGTTAGACATGAACTTCAGTGAGATAATTCTTCCATCAGCTTTAGCTACCTGAACAATCTTCACATTATTGTGCTGGACCACAAAGTTTGGGAGGTGTCCAGTTGCCAGCTAGATGAATGCTGAGAGATACTTTTCAGATATGGCTATCCTCCCATTGGCAGTCTGCTGCCAAAAAGCAAAGGCATGCGGAAGAAAGTAAGAATAGAGGTGTTCCATAATCCATTCCTAAAATGTACTATCCATTTGAATGATAAAGCCAAAGGAGATCACATAGCGTGTATAAATAGCAGCCAGAACACGAGAAATTACAGCAATTCGGAGCTGCTACACCTTATCTCTGCGTGCATCCAAATGTGTCTCTTTTGTCTACAGCCTCGTACACTCTACCAGAATTGATCTCAAAATACCAAGATTGTAGAAACTTGTCTTTGTTGCAGACAAGAATCTGAGCACAGATTGTCTCAGTTACTTTACTTGATTAATGCTTGGTTTTTGTGCATAGATGCAACCTATTCATACTGAGCTTTCAGCTGAAATTTGGAATCCTATTAAAGGAGTCACTGAGTGTCCAACCATAATTTAAGGCCCCCAAGTTACTGAATCCCTCCTACCTCCCATCTTACTACTGCTTCAGCTTCCATAATTATGGTAATGCTGGTAAACACACTTAGGCATGGTGTTGTTGTTGTTTAGTCATCTGGTCGTGTCCGACTCTTCGTGACCCCATGGACCAGAGCACGCCAGGCATGGTACATAAGCAAAAGGAGAAATAATGTGATAGTCACTTGAGTATGATTGCAGGAGGTTCTGTACAGATGAAAAGTTTGTTTATACATTTATTAACATGATTTATACACATTGGGCCCCCATAAGGGAGCTGTGATTGATCTGAGATGAGGCAGCTTTGATTCCCGGGGCTAACAGTGGAGTCTCATGATGCACAATACTTTTCCTTACTGGGGTTCATTATAGTTAGACCTGATTTGGAAGAGACAGCCCTTCAATTAGAATACTTTCCTCTGTTTAAAAAAAGGGACATACAGTGGTACCTCGGGTTAAGAACTTAATTTGTTCTGGAGGTCCGTTCTTAACCTGAAACTGTTCTTAACCTGAAGCACCACTTTAGCTAATGGGGCCTCCTGCTGCTGCTGTGCCGGAGCACGATTTCTGTTCTCATCCTGAAGCAAAGTTCTTAACCCGAGGTACTATTTCTGGGTTAGCGGAGTCTGTAACCTGAAGTGTCTGTAACCTGAAGCATCTGTAACCCAAGATACCACTGTACAACCACCCTTTTGGTGAGTAATGGGAAAACAGCTAAGCTGGTCCCAGTCTCTATGAAATTCAGAACCTTCATTATGGAAGGCAGACAGCAAGCTGGGCACTCCCAAATAGGAATTTGGCTATAGTGGGCTTCTATGCAGATTTGTACAGGATGTTTTGTGTTCTCAAGTGCCCTAACATTTAGAGTCTCTCCTTCTTCCCTCCACTCCAATGTTCTTTCCATAGCCCTGCTGGATTTAGTAGCTAATCATATCCCTCATTTAAATGCTAATCTCTCTCAGCAGCAGGGACCCATTTTACATACAGCTTGACTTTTCTGGTGCAATAAAGCTTAAGCTCAAAATGTAAAATATCCAATGAGATTCCTCAGGGCTTTTTCTTCTTCTTTGGGGATAGTGGGGGGTGGGATAGGAAATAAAAGAATGATGATAGATGGAGAGATGAAACATTGCCTGTAAAGCTGGGAAATGGCCATTTACTTCCTTTGTCTTTTTATTATTATCATTGGGGCAAGGGGAATAAAACTTCCGTTCAATCCCAGGCCAGAAGTAACCTTTTGTGCTGCCTGTTAGCGCCAGCCCAAGTCATTTTGCTGCCTGAGGCAAAGGATAAATGCCACATACAGAAGCTGGTTGGACTGGTTGTTGAATCTTATTTCAGCAATGGCAATGCAATGGGCAGGCAAGTTTACGGGGCACATGCATCTTGGTTCTCCAACAGAGGCGCATGACTAGGGGATGCGGGAGGGAAAACCAGAAGGGCCACTGCTGCTGTACCACAACACTCTACCTCAGCACCTGCCATCTGAGGCAATTGCTTCATTCTGCCTCATGACAGGGCCGGCCATCATGCCTATCTGGGACTTCAGCTGTAAACTGCAGGAAATGGTGCTCCAGGGTTGTGCAAGTGATGGTAGGGGCCTTTGGATGTAGCTGACAAGCCACACCTCCAACTTCACCCTCACCCCCAATTTAATCTAAATCATTGGTTCCCCGTAACCTTCTATAAACAGCACCTGGCAAGGGTCTGCCGCAAGAAATGAGGGGACGGGGCTCTGTCTGTCCCCAATTAAACTGAGCACTGGGAATTTTGCATATTATTTCCCTTGTTGATTGTGCTGACTGCCAGGAAGCTTAATTCTTCCTCCTGTGGCCAGAACATTTGAAGCAAGGCCTCCTAGGCTCAACAGGCCTGGCTCACAGCCAGAGGCGCTGTCTTCTCAGGATGACCAAAGGGGGCCCAGCTCAACATCCTGACATCACCCATGTGACGTTGCATGATGTCCGAACATCGTGAGAAGCCAGGGGGTGGAGCCAAACACCCTCTGAACATTGAGGGGACCTGGCCTCCTCAAAAAAACAACAACCCATGCGGGGCCAAAAGTATCTCAGCCCCTAGGGGCCGGCACCTATGCTCACAGGCCAATGTGTTTAGGAATACAGCCTAAGTCTATGCTGCATCTGAGAAAGAATGAATGTGAAAAATCAGCACAGTTCTTAGCCAGCTTCTAGAGATCAAATCCAGAACAGCCCAACATGGACATGCCTGTGTTCATAGTCTTAGTATCAAATGGGAAAAGAACAGGTGAGAGGGTGAAAGGAAGATGTAAGATCAGATACCTCTTAAGTTCAAAGGAAATCTATCCTGTTGTCATCAGTCACTGCTAAGCTGCTTAAAAACCAAACTCCCCTAGTGTGATGGGTTTTATAGTTATTTCTTTGCTCTTCAGAAGAAGAACGGGCCTATCTAGAGCATAAAGGGGTCTTTTGCTGGAAGCAGAGAAGATGCCATGCACTTTTAATCACTGAGCTTTAGTTTGATTCTTAATTGGCATATTTTTAACCAACTTTGATCTTTTTTTAAAAAAGAGGGAGCGGGAAAAGGGAAAGGGAAGGCGGAAGCTCATTAGAAGCCACTTGTCCTGGTGAGCCCATCTGTTGTTGGGTCTCTTTCCTTTCAAGATGAGGCTTCATCCACCTGTCTCTTGGTAGCAGATGGAGGCAGGCATCTGCTGGCATTGCCTGTTGTGAGTGTTTCTGACAGATCCATCAGGATGCTTGCCAGCATTCCTAAGGAGGAGAGGCTCATACACAAGGAAAGCTTTGCCGAGGAGCAAGCCTGAAGCCAAGTCATGTGCACACAGGCAGGCCCAGCTGAACAAGCCAGCAGTCTTGCGCACTTCAACAGCTTTGCACCAGAAAACAATTCTGGAGGGGTGAATCCATTCTGGTTGAAGTGATCTGAAGAATATTTGCATCCTTCTTTGTAACTCTTAATGGCAGGTGATGGCCTGCAGTTCTGGGGTTTTTGGGATTTAAAAATCTGATAACTGTCAGATTACTGACCACCTTGCCACTAGATTTCTAGATTTCCTATTGGAGAAAAAAAATGCATGGCTTTTCAGCTATCAAGTCACATCTTATCTGAATGGATATTCCCATGCTCTGGAGGTTAAATCTTTGTTCATTGCACATTTTCCTTCCTTCTGGCTTCTTATTCCCACACATATGGTTTGCTGAGCTCTTCTGTCTTCCCAGATCCTTGCCAATAATTCAAAAGCCTGCAAAACTTGAGGAAGGCTGCAAATTAAGGACGTGTGATCAAATTTACAAATTTGCCTCTTTCTTCCAATGCAACATGTTAGGCATGCAGATTACAAGATACTGTGTTTTTCACTCGACAGAAAGTGGTGATGGGGATAGCCTTCTTGCACTGATCCATGCCTATGCTGTGCTTTTCCCTTCCTCCAGGTTGATCCTTACCTGCCCTATGAATACACCTCTGAAGGGATGCTGGAGCGAATTCATGCCTATATTCAGTACCAGGTAGTTAATTTGCATCATGTTCTGCAGTTCTTTGTGATTAAGTCTAGGAGGCCAGTGGTTTCCTGCTCCCAAGATGGTAATGAATGGCACAATAACCACTCACTTTGGTTGTATGAGTTAAATTTTTACCAGTGTCTAAAGCAGCCTTTCTCAACCTGTGGGTCCCCAGATGTTGTTGAACTACAACTCCCATCACCCCTAGCTAGCAAGGCCAGAGCTCAGGGATGATGCGAGTTGTAGTCCAACAACATCTGGGGACCCACAGGTTGAGAACCGCTGATCTAGAGAGTTATGTCTTGGAGTGAGGATTGGGAAGTCAGCGGAAATTGGGAGGATGTAGCTTTTCTGATATCTTTTTCCAAATGATTAGCGAAATTGAATTAATTATATGGTTCTTTATTTCTGAGCTCCCTGCCCCCAGAAGTACAAGTTTCATCTATTTCTGGGCTTTTCTCCTCACGGTTCTGACAGTTTTTATTTTCAGCATTTATTATGTGTGATGTTTCCCCCACACACACACCGCCTCGCATTTGCTAACTGCCGAAATGCTACGCTTTGTGATCTTAGAACACATCAGCTTGTAGCTCCATTTTTAAGCTTGTGCACAAGTATAATTAATTTTCTGAATAGAACTTGGAAGTGTGACCCAACTCCTTATGCATATGGACAGACATCAGCCTCTAAACATCTCATCTCACCCCAAGATTTACACCACGGAATTGCCCTGTAGATATCCCTGGTTTCCCAAGACATACAGTATATCTGTGGTTTTAAAAAATTCATGTAGCTATGAAACTGCCTCATTCCAAATGATATATGTAGAGAAATACATTGGTAGGCAGGTAGATGGAACAATGTAACTGAGAAGCTACAATATAATGCTCTCAGGGACTGGCTGGGCAATGAGGAGTGGTGAGAGGTGTCATGTGAAGAGGCTCCAGCTGGAGAACCCCATGGGGAAGCCTCAGAAGAGGAAGTCTCAGAGCCAGGGGAGTGGTGGTGGGGCTATGAAGGTCAGAGGAGGTGGGGGGAGAATAGTGGGGTGCTGAACAAGCAACAGGCTTGAGTGAGAGAGGAGAAGAGGCAGAAAACACTGCAGATGTAGAACAGGCAGCTGAGGAGGAGGTGGGGGCTGAGGCAGCAACAGATTCACAGGAGCCTGTCAGTCCTCCCAGCTTGTCTCCAAGGGCTCAAAGAGTTTTGCATGTAGTGGAGCAATGAGCACAGAAAGTGCAGTGGGGGGGGGGTCTACTGACAGAGCTTAAGACTGTGGGTGAAACAGCCGGATAGGGAAGAGACTTAGGGGGTAGTGAGAGGCCCAGATTGTCAATTCTGGCAACTCATTTACAGAGGCTAGTCTTGCTGTAGGTTTCTTTGTTTGTATTCTCTTTTCTTGAATAAAGAATCAACTTTACTGCTCGCCTGTGAGTCTCCATGCTGACCTGCAGCTGAACCAGCCCTGACAAATGTAATGCAACGTCAAACAAATAAGCAATGAAATAAATAATAAAACCCAACTAGAACAACATAGCAGCATAATTTGAAGCCTTTTTAGAGCCTCCCTTTTGTCAAGGCACATCCTGACTGACAAAATACAGCGCTCGCCCCTCTAACGTGCAGACTTCACACCCAAATTCTGCCTTACATCCACGCAAATCATACAGTACCTCCTGCTCATTCAGTTTCACTCACTGCAGTTTATTCCCACACCTCACATACACATCCACTAGTACACATAAACACATCACCCACCCAATCACTCCAATATCTCCCACTCATTCACCTTCCACAGTCACTGCTCCCACTCAACAAAAACATACTGCAAAAACACCGAGGAGACAATGAAAGCTTTCACTGACAGAATGGTATATATAACCGTACAAATTGCCACCCATACGTAAATCACACAAATGAGCTGTTCTCAACAGCGCTCAGCCAGGTTGCTGTCTTCCACCCAAGACTCTCATGCACCAATGATGCTCTCACACACATGATATGCCTTCATTTCACCAAGGAGTGCCACAGTGGCCAACCAGAGACTTATGAGAAACCCACAAGCAGGAAGTGAGTGCAGCAGCGCTCTCCCCATTTGTCATTCCCAACAACTGGCATTTAGAGCCATACTGCATCATCTCCTCACCTGGAATGGCTCCATCCCTTTGATCATTTGGGTTGTCCTTTTCTGAACCTTTTCCAACTCTACAATATGCTTTTTGAGACGAGGCAACTGGAAGTGTACACGATATCCCAAGTATGGTTGCACTAAAGATTAGCATGGTGACATTATTATATTGGCAATTTGATTTTCAGTTCCTTTCCTAATGATCTCTAGCATGGGATTCTATGGACTCCAGCGGGGTTGAAGTTACCTAGGAGTCAGGCCCCTATTGAATTTGATTGGACTAGCTCCTGTTCATGCCTTTTGAAAAATTCTGTATAAAAATCTGTCTGTTTTCTTCTTGGATAGGATTTCTGTGCCACTGCTGCTATGCCAGAGAAGTCCAGCAGCCACACTATGCAAAGCTCTGCAAGCCCCTTCAGCCTGCAGCCCAATTCCACATACCTGGCCTGGTCTCACAATTCCAGCAGCAGCCCCCCTGCCTGGCCTCCAGTCAACTCCATGCAGGTGTGGATATCAGACGCTGGGCAGGCCTGCACCAGTACTTGTCAGCAGCATGGTTTGGTCTGTGAGCCTGAGTTCTTCAAGTTCATCAACAAGAAAGGAGTGTTTCAGCAGTAAGTCTCTTCTCTGTCCCATCTTACCCTCATTCACCCTGGAATCTCTTCTCTTCCCAGTGCTGTTTTTATAGAAAAAGAGGTGCCAGAACTCACCATGAATACCTCCCTTGTTCTCCTGGCAATGGTGCCCACCTGAAAGGTGCCGGAACTGAAAATAAGTCCTATCTCTTCCCCTTTGCATAGCACACTAACAAGTGCCAGATAGCAACCCAGGCACTTTGTATTTTAAAGCTGTTGGGCAAAACTGTAAAGTTCATGCTTTGTTTTGGTTTGCAACTCAACTGATGTTGAGTTTTGATATTGATGCAAGGCGGTAATGGAAAGTGACGTTTTTGTGCCATGAATGCTGCAAAGATGGAGTTGGAAGAGTGCTGAGCTCTTCGTTGAAACACGATATTTGCTTGCAAAACTCACTTTTCAACTCCTAAATCTGAATATTACAGCCAGGTTTTGTTTCCTTGGAGGCTGGTTATTTGCAGGAACTGTTTATTAAAAGAAACCTTGAGTTTGAATTGAATTTTGACATTTTAATTGCATTATCAGAACTACTTGAGGACCCCAAGAAAGAGCAATATCCCACCATACAAAAGTTGGCCTAGACACCCCTTATTAATTAAAGGCCCTTTTGCTCCTCAGGCCCATTAAGCTTCTCCCAAAGTCTCAAGAATTGCTATAGACCTTCATTCATGCTGAGAAAGTGAATCCTTTCATAGATGCCTCCCTGACATTTTTTTCAGTTCCCTTTGCACACAACACGGCAAACTAAAAATATTTGGACAGACCTTCTGGTTGCATTGTGTGTGGGAATGGCTTTCTGTAGTTGAAAAGGGGTTTCTAGACACCGTTGTTCTCTTGTCTCCCTCCTTCCCCCTTTATCCCTCTGTCTGTAAGCATACATTTGGAACACACAGGCACTGACATTTTAATAGAACATAAATCTGCCACCCAGCTCCATACATAGCTCTGGACAATTAAAATGGGCGCATTATCATTTCTGTCACGGCGGCCAGGCAGGCAATTTGAGTCCAAGTGACATTTTTATATGATAAATTAGAGGCAGAGCTCAGATTCTACTTGCTAAGCTCCTTTAGCTCCTTAAAACCCAACCATTTTCAAGAAATTGCTGGTTCAGAATCACTAGTTCAGATCAGAGTTTATTAAAGAGATGCCGGGGAGTTTACTGAGTGGCTGGAGAAGGAAAGGCTATAGCATCGCCTACGGGTACATGGTTGACTTCTTTCACTAAAGTTTGTTTGAGAAAAGGCATATCTGCCACAGCCTTTGCCAACCAGATGCCCTCCAGATGTTTAGGTCTACGATTCCCATCTGCTCCAGCCAGCACAGTCTTGGCCCATGTAGGGATCCGACCAGGAGGCCAGCTCAGCACCCATCTCACCTGCACTTCCTCATGCAAAACATAACATCTAGAAATCTCGTCACGGATCTTCTGCAAAACGTATACTTAGGCCCTTCCTGTATGCCTAACAAACGATAAAAGTGGGAATGCAAACATTAGAACCAGTGTTTGAAAAGACCTCTCTCTGTGTGTTTCTTTGTTTCCAAGGCTCAACATTGTCTGTGACAGCACAGAGTCAGAGATGAATCACCTCTACCCGGCTGTGGCTGAAAATGTCCAGGAGTGCTACCTCCAGAAGGAACCTCTCTTGTTCAGCTGTGCAGGATGCAATACCAAGTACCAGCGCCTCTGCCCCTGCCGCAATTACCGCAAAGGACAAGTGGCACTGTGTGGGGACTGCTTGTGATTCCACTGGGGCATGTGTGCTGTAACGTGCCACACATGCAAACAAATAACTTTCTTTTTCCATAAAAGGCTTCTGCAATACTCAAGAAGGTTCCAAATGGAATCATCTTCTTGGAGACTTTTTGGATGTCAGTGAGATTCCATTGGTTGTTTTGTCTCCCAGTCAAGGGCCAAGGACCCGTTTCCAACATTTCTTTACTTCTTAAAGCATATCTCCTCCTGCATCCAAGACCACTGGAGACTTCAAAGCGGCTTAGAAGGGCTGCATTGAAAATCCTTCTGAAGGACAACAAGGCAGCCTCTTTAGGATTTCATCTTCCTTAAACATCTTGACCTATTTATTTTTTATTGGGAAATTGAAATTAAAGCAGGAAAATCGACAAACAGCCCTTGAGGAATGTGTTCTGTTTCAAATGCTTTCTTCAGAAAGAGAATCCTTTCGGAAGGGAATGAAAAGAAAAGAGGTGTTGAAAGGCTTGTGGAGGGATGCAGGCATAATATGGTGAATGTTTTGCATTGCAAAACAGAGAGACATTGTGGCTACAAATAAGAGGCTATGGGGACTGTTGGAAAGTTGAAGAAAATAGGAACCTGGCTGACATGCAGCCTGTATTTGCATGTCATGGTAAGCCATAAACCATGGCTTGCTGTGCATGAGCCAATCACATCTGCTTTGCTCCTTTGCACTACCACTGGGAAGAAACAATGATCTTTAGCTTTCCAAACATGGGGAGGGGGGCATTGGACCAAAAGAAATAATGATCCCTGGTTCAGACACAATGCTAAGCCAGAGACCACAGTTTGTTTCCTCTGTGCACTCACAAGGGGCAGTCAAAGAGTCCAGGTAGGAACGTTACCATCTCCCCAAAGGGGAACTCCAAGGTACAGCCAGTTCCAGCAGGCTTGAAGTCAGTGCACATTACCTGATAGGCACCGACTTCAGTCCCTGCTTTCATCAGGGTTGGTTGCCCTGTAGAATTCCTGATGGGGAAGGATACAGCCAATCCCAGCAAGCTTGCTGTCATTGCTGGTCAGCTGATTGGCAGTGGCAGCACGTTTTCCTTGTCATGGAACAATTGCCTATACACTTTAAAGTTCCAGATTGTTTGTTGGTAGCCACATCTCTGCGTGTCCCTCACCTGATGTCATGAGTGATGTCAGCTGTGGGTGGTTTTGGGAAACAGCCTCAAAGGCCAATTTGGAACCCATGCCAAGACTAATTAGGTCTGGATGCCCTCACACCTCCAATAGCAATTGTTTATTATGACATGCAAATTGGGCTGCTGACCTGCATATGCTGCTACAGTCAAATAGGAATGGAAGGAGCTGTCCATTTCAGTTTCTCTTACTTTCTCACTTTCCTAATCTTAAATTCAGTTCTCCACATTTCCGCATCAGTTTGTGTCTTTGTTTTTTAAAGTCCTCATTAAAATTCACCAGTATTTGAATGCGAATTTCTCCTAACACATTTTTGTATGCAGTTTTGACAACTGCACACATTTTTTTGCAAGAAATATCCCCTAATATAATGCATTTTAAATGTTATTTTTACTGATATCTTCATTTTTTACAGACACTTACCCCTAATATATACATTTTTTCATCACAAAAATTCAGCTAAGTGTGAATTTTGAAGGATGCCTGTGCTTCAGTTCTTGCATCATCATCATCATCATCATTATGGAAATGGTGAACTTGATAGAGTGGTTCTCAAATTTCTCCTCTTTCCCTACAAGCAACACACAGTGTTATGTGAGTAGTGTATTCATGGTAAACCATATGGTGATCTGGGCCTCAAACCAAACCTTTCATCTGGTGGTGGTATGCTGTGACTGGGTGCTGAATTACACCATATCTTATGCCTTGTCATGGCAACATGGTTACTCTGGGAGAGAAATTTCTTGGGCTGGGGCTGGCACATACCACGTTGTGGACTAAATAGGGATGCAGGTGGTGCTGTAGTCTAAACCACTGAACCTCTTGGGCTTGCTGATCAGAAGGTCGGCAGTTCGAATCCAGGGTGAGCTCCCATTGCTCGGTCCCAGCTCCTGCCAATCTAGCAGTTCGAAAGCACACCAGTGCAAGTAGATAAATAGGTACCACTGTGGTGGGAAGGTAAACGGCATTTCCATGAGCTCTGGCTTTGGAACCCAGCTATAAGGCATCGTGGTACAAAAGGTTTAATTTTCTATCATTTTTCCAATCATTCCCAGCATGAAATCCCCTCTTTTCCTGACACCGCATTCTGCCTTGGTTTTCTTCTTGAGCGATCCACTGTGACCCAAATATCTTTTCCATGCTTAGCTACTGCCAAGTAACTGCCATGCATGCCGCCTTTTGTTCCATGCAGGAAGGGTGCTGTACAAATATGGGAAGTGAACTATATAAAAACTTGCAAACCTAGTTTGCTAGAGGCAATAGTGGGCTGAGTATACAAATGCCAAAGGTGACTCACACTATTCTGCTGGGGAAACGCTCCTTTACTTTATCTCAATTCCTTGCAAAAAGCATTTCAGAAGTGCACAGAGCAGGTTCAGCGAGGGCTGGGTGATATGCCGGCATTTCAAAACTGATTTTATTCTGTCACTATATCTCTCCACACAATGGAATTTCTGTTGGATATGGAAGAGCCTTGGTCAGAAAAGAGCTGGTCACCCTATGTGTGTGGCCATCGACTGGGGTGACTTTCAAAGGGGTTTTGGTAAATTTGTGGAAGATAAGCTCACCAGTGGCTACTCTGATGGCTATATGCCATCTCCGCTGGCAGAGGCAATACGCCTCTGTAGACCAGTTGCTGAAAATCACAAGTGGGGAAGAGTGCTGTTGGCATTCAGGTCCTGCTTCTGGGCTTCCCATGGCCCCCTGGTTGTCCACTGCAAGAACAGAATGCTAGAGTCAGTGGACCCTTGGCCTGATCCAGTTGGGCTATTCTCTTGTTCTGATGAGGTCAAAGATATATGCTTAGCTGCAATTCACAAATCTCTTGAACCAGCATCTTGCCATTAAGTGGAGATTGGGAGGATATAAAAGAAAGAACACATAGTATTTTTTTCTTCATAGCTTTGGAGTTTAGTTTTATACCTTGGTGCCTATTGTGATGGCAACCTGTTCTGTGAATTCAAAGTAAGCACAATAAAATTCAGATAAATGAAAGCTGGTGTGAGCGGGATGTCAGTTTAAATGCAAGTAAGTGCACTATGCTGCCAGAAGTGATTTGTGAATTGTACCGTCTTATGCAATGGTGTCATGCCAAGAAGACACTTTCAAGAGCAGACTTGATGGACAGCCAATTTATATCTGGATTGGAAGTAACAGACTTCGTCGAATGCTGACCATAAGCCAACACAAGGCAGATGGACCCAACCTGGTCAGTCTGCTCTCTGTTTCAAGTGTCTCCCTCCATTTAACATTTACATCCATGGCCAGTACAACTGCCTCCTACCTACATAATAAATGGCTCCAAAGCCCAAAATTGAACCTCTTGCTTCAGATCCTGGTCTTCTTACCCAAGAGCTGTAGTTAGGGAACAGAAGCAAATTTAGATATCTGAACTGACATTGTTCTGTTAGTAAAATGTGCTCTCTATAATATCTGCTTTCTGAAAAAATCCTAATAATTTGTTTGCTGGCTTGTGGGTTTTTTCAGCATGTTTTTAGATCTCATGATAGTGAAGATAAACTTGACAAACATGCCTGATGTTCATTCTAATGGTTCATATACTAAGCACAAGAATGAGGATGGGTCCGTGTGAAAGGATTTAAGTGAATGAATTTGTCAAATGTGTGGAAAGAGAAGGGTCTTTTGAGACTACCAAGTGCAAAAAAAAAAAATGCTGAATGTGTGTTCACAGTCAGGATGGTACAAAATTGAAAGCATAATGGATATAAGAGTGAATTCTTCAATTGTTTGGGTCTAGATTTTCAGAAGCGTCAAACCCATTCTCACTGGACTAGACTTTCTGTCAGCTGAACTTCTGGCTCAGTCCTTCAGAGCTGCTGTGTTGTTGATGGGCTCCTTTCATTTTATTTTCCTGACTGAGAAATTGTATTGAACAGATCCTATCTCTCCTGAGAAAATATTGATCTGAAGTTTAAATGGCTTCCCATTAACACGCTACAATGCGTGTCATTGGAGATTACTTTTTGATCTCATTACAAAGGGAGGACTCAGATGCTCTACTTCAGAAGAGCCCCCTCCCCATTCAAAGTCTCTTCCCTTTGTACATAAAAGGAAGAACTATTTATCTGTGCTTTTCACTCAAGGCATCTGAGAACAAAAAATTAAGTTATTACTGCTTTTCAAACCTCCTCCGCTTTGCTAGAGGGGGGAAGTCAGGCAGTATTCAATATGTCCGTTTCTTTGCAGAATAATTTGGGGTGAGGGTGCTGTGCCGCCATGTGAAATGAGGCCCGAATTGTTTTAAAGTATTGCAAAGACGCAAAGTGGGTCACCTTTCTGTTTTATCTTTCTAGCAACCCGGGGCAATTTGGCCTGCAAAGAGATCCATCTCCAAGGGAAATGGCAGCAACCAACCACTGCGCTCCTCTTTCAAGCACAAGGATGGAATGCTGTGCCCAGTTATGCACCCCAGATCCCTGCAATGATTGCAATACATTACACAGATTAGAGTCGTTCACATGTTTTATTCAGTTTTGTGCAGTGCTTAAGCTGCCTACATATCTGTGTGTGCAGAGGCTGTATCTGCATGTGCGCTTACAGTAACTGTTTTGATTTCAGGGCATTGGGAGTGGGTAAAATATCAAGGAAATGCATTGGAGGGGGGGAAGTAAATGGGGATAAGAAGACAGGTACCATGACAAACATACTGCATTTACTCAAGTCTATTGCACCATCAAATCTAATGCACACCTCGATTTTCAGAACCTTGAAACCAACAAAAGTATTTGCTGGCGAACCTAAATGTGCCATCGAATCTAATGCACCCCAATGTAATTTGGCCAAAAAAGGTGAGCATTAGATTCGCGTAAGTACAGTAGATTGCGTGGGGTGTCTCCCTATTCCAGACATCAACCCGGGCTAACTTGCCAGAGATATCCGTAGGAAAATTATTCCATCAGGAATCCATTAGGATTCAAGAGAAGAAGAGAAGGAGGAGGAAGAAGCAAGAAAAGGATGAGGAATAATACATAGCTGTTATTATCATGTAAATAGGCACTACAAATGACAGGGATAATGGAAAAAGCTAGTAGAAAAATCACCTTCCGATTACAGGGCAAGCAATATTGCACGTAAGTACATGTAACAGCGTCTAAACATATTTCAAAATGTAAAGTAGCCTC